GAGGTGGACTCTGCTGCTTTGGCTGCGCTGGTCAGAGATGGAAGCTCACCTTGCACTCGAACTCCGTCTTGTTGGCAATGAGAACCAGCTCCTCCATCTGCTTCATCTTCTCCACCTCCCAGTTACAGTCCTCAACCACCTGGAAAAAACACAGGCTCAGGGCTGGGAACAGAGCACTATCACACCAACACGCCCGGAACGCCATCCCACACTAGGTCCGTTTACAAGGGATTAGAGAGCCAATTGTAGTGCAAGTTCAACGTTAAATAATAAAAAAGAAGAATGAAATGAACTTGCAACCTCCTGGCAAGATGTATGAGAAATAGACTACACTCCTTTTCAAATGTTAAAAAGATTTTTTTTCTTGCAATGTCTATTAACACTGTTATGTTTAGGTTATCATCTACCAGTATTTTTTTTTATTTGTTCTTTCTTGCTTGTCTAATTTGTTCAAATTCTTTTCATCTAGATTTTGTGTACCTTGGAGACTTCCTTTAGGGCTCTCTCTGTTGACCTGTGGACCTCAGATCCCGGCACTGCCCTCTTTAGGATGTTCTGGGGAGCAGGCACAGTGTGCCCAACAGGCACCAGGGGAGAAGAAGAGCATCTTTAGAACCAGACCTACATGCTCTAACATCACAGTTAGAGCAACGACAGAATTCAAGACGTGAACTCCTGAGTTCAAACTCTCAGTCATGTCCAAAATAACTGCTAAACATTGTGTATTTATGGGTCTTCCTAATTTAAAGCTGTGTGAGGACAGGGGTGCACTAACATTCCGACAGGAGAGAGAAAAAACAGGACTCAGTTCAGCTAAAAAACGAGTATTGGGATCTGATTTCTTCGTATTGGACCTTAGCCTTCAAAATCACTGACTGACAAAAGGCTGTACTGAAAAGTTGTGATCCAAGTCAGTAGTTTTAAAATATCTTGAGCAGATTTCAGTTAACCTTTTTTATTATATTTTTACAGGAGACCTCCTATGAATCCTACAGCCTGGATCTGAGAGCTATCTTGAGAGAGAGGTTCATACAGTTTCCTTGCTGTGAATCCTACTGGTCTGTCAGGAACAGAATGCCATTTTACCAAATACATCACCCCCCTACCAGGCAGTAATAGCCCTCTGCTTTACTTCTAAAGATATATTAACACCGCAGTCACCTTCCCACAGCCCATCACGTGCCCATCCTATCCCAGGCTCCCTTCCGTACCTCCACCAGAATTTTGAGGCGTGTGATCCTCTGGAAGGGCAGGACCAGAAAGGACTTCAGAGGGAGGCGGTTACAGCGGGGGTCCTCCTGGAGCTGCTTCAGGATTTCCACAAAATGGGGGTTTTCCTTCCTGAAGGGGGGCACCAACACAGGGGATTACTCCACGGGCTCACAGCCCCAGGCCCTAGGGGCGCCCTGGCAGGCCCTGTCCTACCCCAGGTTGTGCAGTGTCTGCTCCTGGTAGGGTATGTTGCGGATGTAGTCGATGTAGGCGGAGAAGTGGCTCTTGGTATGGTGCTCGATGACCTCGCACACGTCACAGAACAGGCTGCTGTCTTGCTTGCTCTTCAGGTCTTCTAGGAAACTGAGGAAATGACAACCGTCACTCCGGGCACCACAGTTGAGCTCTCCTCTCACGTGACAGCCAGTCCTGGACCTGGTCTGGCACCACCCTGTTAGCCTTTTAAAACCTTGAAAACGGGGTAACGTAGCTCATTCATAAATGACTCGGTTCAACACAGCACACATCTTACTCAGCACCACTGTACCAAATCTGTATGGTACCACAGTAGACCAAAAAGAAGAAAATGCCAGTCAGTGCAATCTGAAACCCAGCAGAGAATACATAGAATATCCTAATAAACCTTTAAATGCAACTTTTCATGCAAATTATACTCCTATCATATTAGCATTTTTCAATATAAGTTCAATACATAAGTTATTAAAGATGAAAAGATTGTAAGTCATTAGGTGCCCTGATTCTTGCAGGAGATGACTATACTATCAAATGAGAAAAACCAATGGAGTATTACTATGGAAAGCAAGATAGCTCTTCATTGCTTACTTCTGACTGATCTCCCTGATCTTTCCAATGCTGGAGAAGAGGGATTTGCGGTCACGCGGTGCAAGGGCAATGTTAAGGTCAGGGGACTCCATGAAGTGATCCACTGCCACATTCAGACTGTCCAAGTAGGATTCCTCTGTGATCACCACCTCGTACATGCTCTGAACCACAGGGGACAAACTGTCACACTCTTGCGCGGTGTTTCACTGACACACAGCAAGGCATAGGTAAGCAGAGAGACTGGGTTACACAACAGGCCACCAAGGCGGAGCTGCACACCTAATATCACACTCGGGTCACAAACTCAGAGTCAAACAACGGACAGACTGATAAATATCCCATTCAGATCAGAAAGGCCTTAAATCAGAAAGAGAAAAATATGTCAGTGTCAAAGCATGATCACCGCACAAAGAAAGCTGCACAGACAAGAAGAGAGTGAGTGTGTGTGTTTGTATACTCATTCAGACTTAACTCAGAGTGCAGAGAGTACCTAGTTGCAAAGGACAGAAATGTGATGGAGAGCAAAATCAGAAGTCTGGCCCTGACTCCCGTACCTCCTGAAGCAGAAGCTCCTGCTTGTTGAGCTGAGAGAGGATACCACTCTCCTGCACCACGCTCCGCTCCTGCCAGTACCGTTTCATTGGCCTTGCCTTCCTGGGAACCCTCCTGATCACCCCCTCGAGTGGCGAGCTAGTCTCTTGGCGCCCTCCAGCTGGCAAGGGCTCTCCGGCATCCTCCTGGTCCTGGCGCGCCTGGTCCATCTGCTGTGTAGGAGAGCATCCTGGCACAACCCTATCTGTGTGCTCTTTGTTCGACCACTCCACAGACGGCTGTTCCTGTCTCTTCCAATGCCCTCTTGCAGGGCCCTTGGCCAGTGTGGATGGCGAAGTTGTACCAGCCGTTTTCTGGTCCTTTGGATAGCCTTCTTCCCTTTGCATCTTGGAGCCCAAGAGTGAGATCTGTAGCAGCTCCAGGAAGGGAGATCTCCTGTTCTGAGCAGGTGACACCATTACAGCATCAGAGTGCAAACGCTTGCCCCCGATGAGGCTTGACAGGCCCTCATAGCTGAGCAGTGAGAGCTTATGCCTTGCCTCCTTTCTCTTCTGCTTCTCCTTCTTGGCTTTCTCCTCCTGGCTGTTTCCCGGGAATTTCTCCTGTAGTTCTGCCAGCACTCCTGGCATTGCGTCAGGTAAAGACCCTCTTTTTCTGCCTTCCACTTCCACAATGGCTGCCCCTTTGGTGATGCCAGGGGGCTTCCTAGAAGGAGCGGACTTGCCAGGGCCCCTAGGGAGAACTTTGATGTAGGACTGGGTGGTAACTGACATGAGGGGTGGCTCTTCGCCTGGTCCACTGTCTGCGCAGGCAGTCAGGGGCTCTAGGAAGTGATAGTTGAGGAGAGAAGGATTGAGGAAGATTTATTTTGCTGTAGAATCTTACTTGGTCTTGTTTATTACACCAATATGTTAATGTTAGCATGGAAATGTTAATATCAGCCAGCCAGGCTCCGTTCTCTATTTCTTGAATAAAGCTGTTCGATTCTTGAAATATTTTAATCCCCTTGGGAAAAACGATACTGATGGTACTTTGGAGTAAAAACACTGCTGTTCACATCACAGCAGACTCTGGACCCAATACAATATTGTTTTCCCTTTGCTGTGAAATGCAGACTGTGATACCACATACCTAAGCCCTATTTCCTTCCATAGTTCTACAAGAGCTTCACTAATATCTTGGTTGAAACTGACCTCTGACTTTTGTCCATATAAATAAATATTTATTTATAATATACACTTCAATGACTTTTCATTAGAAAAGACTCAGATCCACGTGACATGCTTTTCACTCCCGGTTAAAGATTTAAATTAGAATTTTATAATCTAATTTTGCAGCACAGTCGACTGTTTTTGAATATACTGAATTTTTATGCCCTATGCATAATGATCTAAACATCCTAAATGGTCTCTTATGAGTGGGAATAATATATGAAAGACCATGTTACTTACACGGTAATGAGTTGATTTTCAGGCGGGTGCCCACCCAGTCTCATAGACAGGTTGGGTGATATACTGTAGTACTACTCATATTGAGTCTAAGATAAGAGATTTTGCAGTGATGGTAACACAGGGCTGAGTTCACCCACCTTGGCTTCTGATAGGCTGCGTGCTGTGCATGGTAGGCAGTGTGAAACGCTCACTGTCCAATGGAGATGTGTCTATTTCCATGTACACGCCTTCACATTTGCTGGGCTTCTCTTCTTCTCCTGATGGGCACAGACATGTATAAACACCATCTGCAGTGCCGCAGATGCTATGGTAATAGCAGGCAATATACTACCCTGCTCACCAAAGGCAAAATAAAGGAAGATGCCGTCTTCTTCGGCTCTGGGAATTGCCACATATTTATGTAATGAACCAATACAGCATATTTCAGTTCGCAGACAGTAACTGTCATTTCATCTTAAACTTTAGATTTCCACTTTCCTGTGTGGGACCCCTCACTCATATTTATCGCTCTTCCAGCTTTACTTATCATATAATTTCATCCCAGAATAATGTAGCATATTTTGACATTTAATGTATTGACTTGTAGCATGAAGCTCTCAGTAGACCCATTGATATTATTGCCCTGATTATGCTAGCCCAACCTTGGCACATGTGTACCAGCTTCATGAACATGAAATGTTCATGTGTTCAACTATTAGTTTTCAGCTGCTTCATTTTAATTCATGGGCTTATGATATTTAACACAGATGCTTTTAAACTAAGACTCACAATTCCAGCAAGGGTGGATGTGTAGAGTTTGAAATGTTTAACTCCAGAGCCCACTTGTTCTACAATGGGTGACGACATTTCCACTTAGTGAAAGAAACCACAGATAGTTTTTTTAGCAAGTCACGAGAAAAAAAAAAGGTTTAGCAAGTCTCAATTCGCAGCAGCCTCCCAGACTCCCAGCATGGACTTGCCTGCTGTTTCCAGTCAGGAGAGCAAGTGCTGGCTTGTACCTGGAAACTGCATACGCATGCAGTTCATCACAAGGGTTCCAGTTAAAGGAGTGTTCTGTGTCTTGCTTGATTTATAGTAATCTGCAACTGAAAGAGAAGCTGATCTGAAACTAGTGAGATGTTAGTTTTCTTTTCATGGGTTCAAATTAAAGGAGTCTGTGGACTATAATAATAATAATAAACTTTATTTTTTATAGCGCCTTTAAGGGTGGCTTTTCACTAGACTTACTTGTATAGTAATCCATTCTGAAAGTGAATCTGAAATGAACCCAGCAAGATGTTAGTTTTCTTTTCATGCAATTTACTAACAAAACATATTTCATGGCAGTGCTCTGAGAAAGATTCAGTGTCCTTTCAGTAAATGTGCTTGTGGTGTAGTACAGTATATATTGTCTCACTACTGATTTAGTCAGTGATCATTTCCTGCATTGAATCCCACCTTACATATAACACTACTGTTTTTTTCTTAAGATAAAGAGGTTAAGAAACTAACTGAATCAGTAGACACTAGCAGATGTGTTCACGTTGGTCCTTTGCCTCATCATTTTCATCTTTTATCTTCAGCTCCATCACTGCTTTGTGACATTTTTCTATTATTTTCTGCTTGCTGATGCAAAAGATTTTATCCCTGCATGACTTATGGCTGACTGAGTGCGCGGTGTGGGAAAAGTGTGAGATCAGGGGGGCACGTCAGTTTAAGATGCTAAGCGCGTTGATAGAGAGAAGGGAGCAGACGTACTCAGACCTGGAAAAAGAGGGTACACGGGCCAGTGTGCCTACCTGTTGTCAGAGCCAGCAGTTCAGGCTCTTTCGGAAGTGGTCGGATCGGGAGAGGGGCGCCGGGGGGATATCTCCTGGTCTGCCCTGTGCCACTCTGGGTGGTAATATGCCAGTAATCCAAGTGGGCATCCCAGTCCCGGGTGAGCTGCTTCTTCACCATGTGCTCAAGCCAGTCTGCCACAGGGGAGATTCCCACAGACCCCTCACCAATCTCAAGCAGTGCTCTCTGGTGGCACACACACGGGCAGCAGGGGAGACACACTGGTTGACCTCCGGCTTCCTCCTCCTCCTCCTCATTCTGGGGGAAAGTCTGGGATTCCCTTTCTGCGGGGCTGCTCCAGGCCCAGTCTTCTAACACACAAATTAGAGGACAAGACAGATAAAGAATAAAGCGGTATTCTCCATCTTCCTTTGCTAGCTGTAAAATAAGGAACAGTTAGGCTTGTTCCCGGCAGAGACCCACAATTGTATCTTTTCACAATAAGTGTCTTTAAAGCAGCTATAGCTGAGTGTGTACTGGGACTGAATGATGATTTCGATTGCAACTGGGGAAATGAAAGCTCTAGATATAACAGGGCCCTTCAGCTCTTCTGCATTGATCTAATGCCCAAGGCATTGTAGAGGTAGCCAACTCTCTGAAGTCTGGCAAGTATTTATCTGCACAGTTATTTTGTACCCCTGTGTTTTACCTGGCTGCTCAGATTCGGGGATGTTCGGGGGTGGTTGAGGCGCCGGGTCCGGCACTCTTCTCTCATGTTCGGCTCCCTGGTCCTCTCTGCTCTGCGGCTGCTGGGCTCTCTGTGGGGTTCGGGGCTTTGGGGCAGGAAGCGGTCTGCTCGGGCTTTCTCTCCTGCAGACAGGTGGCACAGCAGGCGGTGCAAGAGGGCTGCCACTGCTGCTGTGATTCTGGGATGCCGAAAGAGATGGGCTCTGATCTTTGTGCAGAAATGGCATTGACAGGTGTTTGGCTCGTTGATCCCCTCTTTGTCTGTGGGAGTCTTCCTCCTCTCTCCCCCTCTGCCCCGGCCGGGCCCCCCATGTGATCACCTCAGTGGCCCTGCGCCAACGGCCCCCCCTGCTCTGGGGTTTGGGGGGGAGCTGGGGTTTAGGGGGTAGGGAAGGCCGGGGGGGAACGGCTGGGCTGAGCTTCACAGAGCCCATCCAGTCTAGACCAGCACAGACACCTGCAGGGGAAGGAAGGAATCTGTGAGGAATCCTGTAAGGAAACCAGCCCTGTTCTGTTAACTTCTGGTGCCAAGGCTGTGGATTCAAATGTGCACACCCTGTCCTAATCAGTAGAATGAACTCTTGCAAATTGCACTGATGCACAAGCACTCAGATTTAATGCATTTATGCATAATACAATAAGAAAAGAATCCTTCATGTACCCAGATAAGGATCTTGACAATAAATTCTCACTTACAATCAATTTATGGATTTAAAAAAAGATTTCATATCAAGCAATCCTGATATGTTTTCAGCATGACGGCATTACAAACGTATCATTGAGTGTAACCTCCCTGAGCACAATTATTAATTTAATTACTGGCTTATTATATGGATCTTCAATAAAGCAATTTTGGCGATTTTATCTCAACTCAAAACCACACACAGACTGCATGAGAAAAACAAGAGGTATATCAGTGGGGCTTGAATACTTCTTATGAAGTCTTCTTATTCTTCACAAATCACATGACTTCAGTGTTCAGTGTGTCATCAGCAATTGACACCAATCTCTGCTCAATACTGGAAATATAAATAAGTTAATGTACATGCCCACAACAAACAATGAACAGCTGATTTAAAACTGAAGTGTTTTTTGTATTGGGCAGCATAGTGGGGTAGTGGATAGCCTTGCCCTAGCACTGCTGGGGCCCTGAGTTCAGCTGTGGACCTGGGCTGCTGTCTGCATGGAATTTGTATATATAGGATAGGCTCCAGATCTCATTTCAATTCATTTTGATATAGCGCCTTTCACAACAAGGTTGCCCCAAGACACTTAACAAAGCTGTGTGACAGTACACACGATTCATGGATCTCCTGTGAACCTGTATTGGGAAAGCAGTAGAAATATCGATGGACGGATTTGTGTGTTTTCATTGTACATCAGCATAAATTTTGATTGCTACAACATACTGGATGTAGGACCTCAATAAACATGAAAATCAGATCAGCAACAACAACAAATGTTTATGCATGAAATAACGCCTGAATGCCTCAAATCACATTTTCAGTGATGAGTCTGTGTCATTGCAGAAGTGACTTCACAAGTTTGTGTGCGCTGTATCTTTATCCTGAGAGGCTCTGTGGGGTGTTGAAGTGGGGAATTGGGTCCATTTTTGTTAGGAATTCCCCTCAGCAGTTTCTCACACAATCAGCAGAATCCAGGGGTGACTATGCCATGTTTCGGCAACACAGCTGCACAGCAGGTTTCCCTCCTCAGGTGAGCGAGCTCTTTCATTAGTTCAGATCCCCTCGGATGCGACTGTGGGCTGCGTCATGTTGTTGCTTGCAGAAGATGTGGGTAATGAAAAAAATATTCTATCGGATGATCACGATGTGAGGCATGCCACACGTCTGAAATCCCCCTGTTTGTAGCTAATAATTTTGGAATGTTAATGTTTAACGAGCTAGGAAAAATAGATAATATAATAATCGTAAATCTTTGATATAGGTCCTTTCATGTAAAATAACATAACAAAAACCATCCTGGTGTGACTGGTTGAAATTTCTGATTTCTTTTGGATGATGCAGTGATGTGCATTTATTAGTTTATGGAAGGGAAAGTGTTTCTTAAATCCATTTTCTTTAGTTTTTATGAAACGTATGGCAAGCATTGTGGCTGGTAATGAACAGGTGAACATGTACTTCTTTTTGCACTTGTCTTTGAAACCAGTGTGCTTGCTACTAATGAATGAATGGCCTTATACTCATACAGTACCTATTATTCCAGTCAAGGACCTCAGTCCCCATGCACATAGTGACCCAGACAAGCCAGTGATTGTTCAAGGTCAACACCTCTGAACTGGAATGGGTCATTCTACAGAACATCATGTCACACATTGGCAAGATCCTGGGAATCATGCACAAGGAGATCAGAGGGGAGGAAAAGGAGGAACATATATCCAAGAATAGACTGGCAAGGTTTTAGGGTTACATGTTATCAGCCATTACTATGTAGTTATAGCAAACTTGCTGCAATAGAGAAAGAGTAGCACAGGCCTTTTAACCTTTAGATAAAAAGGTTGAACTTGGTACATGGACATTATGTTGTGATATAGATACATTTGGCTGGAGGTGTAATATCTTCTATTTCTACACTGTGTTTCACTGCTTTCATAATAAGGGTGTATTGCCTGAGAGGAAACAGATCGCATTTTGGCTTTGTCAACAGTTTGAAATGCCGTGTTATATTTTAATACTAACTTAACACTGTTCATTTGAGCAGGGAGATCACTGTAATTGTGAATCTTCCTGGACATTGCAACTCCAATTCACATCCAGAAAGATTTCTCCACATCCTGAGGGCATCTGTTTTTGCTGACAAAGTTCTACCATTCTTGGCAAGACCTAAGCTTTGATCTCACTCTGAGTGAATTAAGGATATTGGGTTTTAATTTAATCATTATAAATATCTGTTGGCGATGTCTTTCATCAATCCCTGTGCTGACTGTGCTTCGTCCTAATATACTACTTAGTGGCACAGAGCAGTACGACCACAGTAAAGGGAAGGTACAATGGTAACGTCTCACTGATTCATCCTGAAAAAACTGTCTTGAACAAAACAGAAAACTCACAAAGCTTCAACAAAGGCTTAATATTTGTCTGCAAATAATGATGAAAAATAATGATGAAAAACTCTTCCATTTTAGATGAAGCCTTAAAAGGTAATAATGATGGTAATGAAACTAGGAAGAAAACTACTGGAACCCAGAACCCACCAGTCTAAAGTCCAGCAACTTATCCACTACACCATGCCACACGTCCCCATAGAGGAAAAGTGTACTGCAATGTATTTGTGCAATGTAATTGAAGGACTCATTTTCAGGGGTCGTATTATGTGTTTTCTGCATAAGTCGTTGAAAAACGTTTCTAGCGTTAATTGTCTCCTCATAAGGAAATGCGGAAGGGAGCCAATCAAAAGCTGCAGAGCAATTTGAAGCCCAATCAAAGCTGAATCAAAGTCTCTGAGCCTCACTGATATACTTCTTATTTTGTTTTCTCACATTCTGCCAAGCCTGAAGAAGCTTTGCTTGTCAGTGGGAAAGGCCTGACAAACAGCAATGATGCACCAACATTACACCACAGGACAGGTGACAATCAAAAGAGCAGACAGAAAGGCAATATACTGTACATCTATCTCCTTTAAGACAAACTGTTTTAGGCAGGACAGTGGTTTAAGAAGTGAAGGCAATCATCTCTTTCTGAGCTGAATCACTGTATCAGCCACAGAGACAGCAGAACCGCAGAAGAGCCGACATCTGCAAAAACACATTGCCTTTGCCGTGCCAGCAAAACAGCCTGGGAATAGCATTGGCAAAAGATCAGAGACAAGCTCACTCAGAATGAAAAAGTTTAAAATCTGATCATTCTTTGCTTTTGAATCCTCCTGACTGTAGCGGGTAAGGGCATCTGGGCAGCCCAATACTGCAATCTATTAAATGTCCACCTAACATAGATAAGCATGTACTGTATGCAATTGCTTAGAATTTTAAAATATATTGAGAACAGCTGTAGGCGTGATTTTAAAAGCTACAGCTGCAACATGTTTCACAATCAAAAATCACAGAAAAATTAAATCACAAAAGAAGTAATATATAGCAGGAAAACAAAAAAACTTCTGCCCTTTGAGTGTTCTCTGTTTTTTTGTGGTATGAATGTAACATCAGTAGCAGTACTTCATGAGCTATGGAAAATTTAAATGGTTTATAAAATTACCCTAACTCATCTAAGAGTGTTTTATGATGCTCACTAATTAATTCAAATTGTTTGAAAGTGATCTTGAGAGATTTTCCTAAAAGCAGTCCGCTCCCCTTCTTTCTTTAATGTTTGGAATATAGTACAGGCACAAAATATCTTTTGTGAGCAAGTATGCTCAAATACAGACTGACTTAGTTTATATTACTAGCCTTCCATTCATGGGCTAACACTTCACAAGATGATCAAAGGGTTTTTCCAGTCTGGGTTAGGTGTTCTTTGTGTTGTTTAATAAGTTTATCATGGCTTTACCATCTCTTCACATTCTCCTTGTTTTCAAGCATTTCAAACAAAAACAATGAATACATTACTCCAAATATTTATCTTTGCAGAGGTTTCATGTGATCAAAATCAAGCGAAACACTAAACTTCAAGACAGCTTAACACATTATCATTCCTCAATATGGCACTTTACCACAATGACGGAAATGGTTCTGACCAGCTGGTTGGGATTACAGAAACAACTCGCAGGATTATGAACTCACCTCAGACAGAAGCTCACCTCCAGCTCAGGGAAAAGTGTCTACTTGTCTTGACAGTCCAAAGCTTGACTCCCAGTCACAGAGAAAGCAAGGGTACTTGTCTGCCTTGGAGCTCTGAATGAGTTGCTCAGTCTGCTCATTTCCAAAAGACATACAGAAGACTGATGGAACTTTTACAAAGGGTTTAGAGAGAAAGGAGAGAGTGTGACCTGTCTCTGCTTGTTGTGTTGGCACCTAGCCAGCCGTCCAAGACAGACACAGAGACCTCTAACTGCTGCTGAACAAAATACATCTCTAGCATGTCTCTTTACTAGAGCACAACTGGTAGGGCAGTCCATCCTGGCATCTGTTCTTAGTGAATCGCTCCATGTTGAGAACAATATCTCAGAGTATTGTTTTAAATCTGAAAAGCACTTCCTATGGTTTATACTGTTCTAGTTTTGGTGTTTTTTTGTCCAGTGACAATTTTTCCATATGGAGTGCAGTGTGTGTACATTAGTCTGATGAATGCAAGTTAAAGTCCAGGCTGTACCACTGGCCAACTTTGACCCCATCATTTCCTCAGCCTGTTTTGTGCCACTGGATCTCAGTAAGATAGAACAAGTAGAGTTCTTTTCCACCACTCTCTAGGTACAGAGATGAGCACTAGCTGTATAGACAAGATCCATCTCTAGCTCTATCTACGTATGGTAAGTGGCACAGCTTCTTGCAACCTAAGTTTCACCTCATTTTTGTATTTTGTTATCTACCAAATTTCTAACTTCAAACCCTTAAAGGGTTCATTAGCCAGGTCTGCTGCTGCCTCCAGTGTTTCACTAATGGCATGTGCAGGAACAATTATTAATCTTGTGACGTCATATACATTAGCCTACTACTCTACAGTACTGTGCATAGTACAGGCTACTGAAGACCTGGTCTGCTACTATTTTACAGTCCTCAGGAATCATGGAAACACACCACTTGTTCAGCAGTTCCCCAGTTTGAAAAGGATGGACCACTCCTGAGAACGTATCATTCTGTAATATTTTGGTAGGGCAGGACATATTATATTGTATATACTGCATTTTGTGGATACTTGACGATGTGAAAGACAATTCATAGAAGTACTAAAAATTACATACATAATGCTTTGGTATACATTTAGTTGTAAAATTCAAAACATGAAATAAATATACTGCTTTAAAAAAATCTAAAAATGTACACTAAAAATCATCTCAAGATAAAAAGTAGAATTAATATAGGTTTAAGTAAAGAGCTAAATCTCAGGGGAAAAAAGAAAACCTTTTTTCAAGACTTTCTGAAAAAGACTGGAAGAAAAACCAGTACAGCTTTATAAATACACTTAATAATACACTTCAAAAATAAACTACCAAACTACACTGATTTATAAGCTTCCAGAAATGGTCTAATGAGGTTCTTGAAACAAAAAAACTGCATCTTCCCCCGGAAGAACAGGAACATTATTCAGCGTATGTTCCTTTTGACAGTGAGACGAGTTGATCTGGTATTTACAAAAAAACAGGCAAGAAACGCAGATATTTGCGACCTTTTAACAAAACAAAGAAATGTTTTGGGCAAAGAGAATATTACTGCAGTAATAAAGGAATTATATAAAGAACACAGCTGCTCAGTCAGGTAAACTTGTTTCCTCAGTTCAGACAGCATAAGTATGCTGTTGTTCGCTCCTTTGTTAAAGCTGTGATAAAGCTGACAAGAAAATAATCAACCTTTTTTCAAGTGTTGGCTTGGTTTAAGCTTTCAGTCAGTGCTGTTTATGTCTGACGCTGTATTTACTGGAATGGGAAGCAGGGGTAGAGGTGAATGGGTTTGTTTTGAACACTGGTGTGGAATTTGTTCATACGGACAGGTGAAGTTTAATTGTGAACATGTCTCAACTGTTCATGGTACTGAAGAAGCAATTATGTCTCAGGGGGAGAAATAAAGTAATAATCATTTTACTATTCAAGCAACTGGCTGAAGACAAGGTGACTGGACTGCATGGAAAACTCTGAGGCTCAGATTTCTCCAAACCTGAAAACCTTTCACTAACATACAGTACAAGGAGAAATTTGAGGAGGTGTGTTCCTATGACAAACCTGTTTTCAAAAACATGTTCTGTAGCCTAGAGGCCATTGTTTTTAAGTCTGTCCACTTCAGCAGCTGTGAATCAAATTGCTTGAGAAGACCCAGGTTAGGTGCACTATAGCCAGTTTGGTGTCGATACATTTGATATTGCTTACTAAGTCAGTATGATCATTATGCAATACATCTTGAACAGCCTGTTGAACAGCTACATGATGTGATCTTTTACAGCCACAGTCATGTACAGCAAAGAACATTTTTTTAAAGGAATACCTGAATAATCAAGATGGACAGGTTCATAGGGCTTCAGACTGGAATATCTATGAAAAACACCACATTTTTCCCAGCTTAATTTTTTACTTACAAGGAAAACAGAACTGTACAGCAAAATACAATTGACCAACCAATGGAAATGCAAGATTCCCGTGAAACACTTAACATGGAAGCCTACAAAATTACAACTGCCTCGTACCTCTGGCAAGTAAGAAGCATATTTAACAGGAAACAGTACATTGGTTAAAAAATAAAGGTCTTTGGTGATGCATGTTACTGGTCATGACGGACCCAGAGAGACACTGGCAAGGCCTGTGAGGTAGCCTGGCTCTGAATAGCAAGGCTGCTGTATCAGGTAGAAAATGAAATTAGTGAAAAAGGAAGCAAGAACAAAAATAGCAGGAAATCCAGCAATTCATATGCGATTTGTGTTCTTGCTGATTCAAACAAATATAAAAAGAGCAAAACGTTTATTACTGGAGTGATGTAGTACATTTAGACAAGCACACAGTTGGTAATCATTACACTTTCAAAGCTTACAGTATCACTCCTATTATTGTTTTAAAACTAAAACATATTGAAAGCTTAATTAAAAAACTACATTTTGGTTAATGAAGAGGTCTGTGATGTTAATGATGATGTCAGTTTAGCAATATGACATTTCTAAAAGAATTAGGTTTTTTGGAATGCATCTTTTTCACAACTACAATTACAATACACAGGCCCATTGTTGAAACTGACTATTTAGGGTTCTTTGAAGGATGACTGGGATCAGTTAGCTACAAGAAACCATATGAGCAAGATCCAGAAAGTAGCAGTTTATTTCAAAGTTCAGTACTCTAATAGGGAAGACTTCCAAGTGGTTGCCACAGGTGACAGTCCAAATGTTAAGACAAACAAATGTTCTTTTTGTGTCAAATATGGCCAAGAACCCTGGCCTGAAGTTTTACAAATTTTCCTGGCAAAAATTATTACAGGCTTTTATGCGGCCGTGTTAGAATACTATTATTATGTATTAACCTATATTGGCATCAGAACAAGCAGGCACATTATAACAGATTAAGATGGGATTTAACTTGTTAAACCAAAGCAAATACACAGGTGAAATGGTCTAATTTCATGTCGTTCTGCAGCAGAAATCCCACCTTAAGAGTCAGACATGTTTTCTAAACATTCCAACCACATGACACAGAAGCGAGGTGGCCACTTCAAAGCAACTCGGCTGAGCTCATAGTTTGGAAACCCAAGAAACCATAGCAGAGGATTCACTCAGAAAAACTAGCTTGAATCTGCCATCAGGAAACTTTAAGTGGCGTGAGATAACTAAATATTTCACTGAAAAGGAATTCAATAAGGAACACAGAATCAAATGCTAAGTAGTACCAAAAGGCTGCTTAAAAAAAATAATTTGTGAATTACCCAAGTGCACAAACGTGGCCAGAATTAACATGTCACTAGTCCACATTATTTCAGTTCTGTTTTTATCCGTGTGATTGTCTTTGGTAAAAGGAACTCGTGTCTGGATGTATTCATCAAACAGAAGAAATGTATTACTGTAAATGGCTTATACACCAAAGTGATATTACAGTACATAAAAAAAGAGACCTCAGAAATATGAGCTTCATTCAGTGACAGACCAAACCAAAAAAGTGTGGGTTTAATATAAACTTTATTACAAGACAGTATTCAATTTTGTTTTAGAAATTATTAAATAGGAGAGATTGGAATGTTAACCGATTCAATAAGAAAAGGTAATACCACAAAGACCGACAAAGATAGAAACCTTAGTCTGCACAAACTCTCCCTCCCTAAGTAGGTCTGATATTTAAACAACCAATCATTTAAATATGAAGTTGTAAATACCCATAATGTTGTTTGGGTCAAACTGCCTCGTGCATGCTTAGCCTTGCTAAATCACCATATAATAACAAGGAAAATGCCAACATCCATTCATGTTTCTTTCACCAGCATTTTTTTCTTTTTTTTTGGCAGAACTGTATACATTTACCGGACACATTTCACTGGACATCCTGTTATTTTTAACATTTTCCACTTCTCCTTAAAAAAATCAAAAAGTAAAAAGCAAGAACAATACATCAATAGGGAGCTCTGTATGGTATTCCTGAGGCTGACACATACTGATGCTGGGGAAGGTAAACCCTCTTCCAACAAGGAGGAGGGATAACATAACATAGTTCACATAACATACATAACGCATATTTCCTTTGTAAGACTATAGCTCTCATGGAATGCTGTAACCGACTGAACACTTTTAAGAGGCATTGGAAAAAAAAGTTTGGCCCAATATTTATTAATGATATAACTCACATCCGAAAAACTCCCATGTAACATCATCAGATGGCTACATCCCAATCATTTTACTGGAAGTTCATCTCTATTTATTGTACAGCTTAAATATTATGTTTTAAGCTGTGCTTAAGAAATCCCACAAAACCTTTAACTAGCCTGTGGACCCTACTCCTCTCAGATAAGAATCCAATTCCAAGATGCCATTTTATCTACAGTGTGATGAAATAACACCGGTCTCTGAACTAAACTACTGGAAAAAACTAAGGATAAAACAATACCTCACTTTAAAGTCATGCACAGATGTCATGAAATTCTTCACAGTTTATTTCCTTCCATTACATTATTTTTTGGTCACTTTCAAGCCTAAACAATGACATGAACACAATTGTTTTGTAACAATTAAGGTGAGGTGGTCTTAACTCCTTTACAACTCTGAACCACATAGCATTGTGCAGCTAACAAGGATAGCATTTACTCTGACCCACAGCCCAACGCATCTCTAGACACAGACTACATTGTTTAAAAAAAAAGCAGCAGAACAGATTTGATATCTGCCTAATATAGAATAAAGCATGTATTTATGTCCTTACATAATTGTCCTTGATAATTATACCGGTCATGACATGTTTATTGACCAATTTCTCTTTTTTTTAGGATTTGTCTGGATGAGAAAAAATGTGTTTCAAGAAAAGTCTGAGTTGCCCCAACAGAAAAAAAATGTTAGCGTTTGCACAAGCAATCATCCTTCCATGCTGTACTTGTGGGCAACATGGCCATCGCTGTCCTTGCTTGACCCAGAATACGAGTGGCTTCAGCAATGCTTGCCTTTGGAAATGGCCACATGCGTAGTAGGTCTGTTGTTAGTTAACATGTCGGCGATGGGTGCTAGTGGGCTCAGAATGACTGCCGCGTGTCACCCAGGTCGATGCTGCACTTCACTGGTGGATGAAGTGGGGTGGCAGCCTCTCATTCAAAGTAAAGCAACCTTGGACAGTTCAGGATGAAAAGCATCACATTAAAAATGTGAGGAATGCTAATTGCTGAAGAACAGGAAGGCAGTGAGTTGGTACCGGAGAGCAGGGTTTGTTACTTTCAAATTTAGCAGCATGTGGTGCGACTGCTCTATAAAACAAAATGGCTCCAAGTAATAAATCAGGGAATAATACCCCATGCAGGGATACACCTCATATCAGTAACTTGCATGGTAAAAATATCAAAAGTAAAAAAAGAAAACAATATATATGGAAATATAAAAACACAAGACCATATTGCTTTAGAAATTGGATACTAAGAACTAACACAGGTGGAAACAGAAAGTGGTGGGCAGCTCCCTTTAAAGTCAAGACTGCTCCCTCACGCTCTCTTGCTCAGTTGAACCGGCGAGGCTTGACCTGGGGGGAAAAATCCAATAAATTCACTGGTGTTACAGCATATTATAAAGGGAGTTGGAATAAAACACGTTGTTTTCAATATGTCGCAGTATGATTCAATATGTTTCAGTGTGTCACATTCAATATGTCACAGCTTTACAAGCTGTCAGAAGATAGTTAAAGGTAAACCCTCTAGAAACCCTCGAGTTTAGGACAAAAATCAACAAATTGCAGTTTAAGAAGGACTACTGTCTGGATGACACACCAATCCAGTATAATAAGTGTGTGCACACTTTAACACAGAGGCAGTAAATAAGAGATCTACCAAGCATGATTTCAGAGGGAGGGAATACCTGCTTAAAACCCACACAAGCATGGAGGTAATGCCACACAGGAGACACCCCAGTCTGTAATTGAATCCAAGACTCAAGAACTGTAACTGCACCCAAGACTTTGCTATACCCATCTTAAGACAAAAATATAAGGGCAAATACGCTTTGGGGGAGGGACAGGGGAATGGATGGGGGTGTTACAGTAAATACTAAAAAATACATTGCATCATCAGTCAATAATGCAGACATCTAGTAATTAGTTAATTCTGACGGTATTAAATTATGTAGGTGATTTCACATTGCAGTGAAGCTCTTCTCCTATGGCTCCTGTGTTGTAAGGTGTTGAGGAGTCGTGCAACAGTGGGTCTTACCACTTCCTTCAGACATGGTGCCCATCTCCATCACCTTCTCCCTGCTTCTGCATCTGGGCCTGCATCTTAGCAATCATCTCCTGCATTCGCCGTAGCTAAAGAGCAAGCAGAGAGAATAGGTAGTCCGTCAGAAACAAAGCTCTGGCCACATCCTCTATACATCCACATCACAAATTCAGTCTGAAAATCAGAGCCATAGCCCCAACATAGTGATAAAATGCACTGAGTTGCATGTGGCAAAGTTGGCTGTTTAAGACTATTAAGTTTAATCATGTATTATAAGATAGAATTAGACAAAATTCCTTTTTCTTGCCTTTGGCATTATTCAGGAGATGTCCTGAATGCCGATTATGATTTGCCGTCAGAGCTGATAGGTAACACCGCATGCAGCTGCAGTGTCAGCTGAGAGATAATGGTATTAAGATTAAGCCTGTGTACCTCAGCCTCCTTCTCTTGGAGAATCATGTCCTTGTCGAATTCCTCAGGCTCTGCTCCTTTCCTGAAACACATAAGCATTGTATATTGCGTTCACAGCGCTAAAACCCACTGTTAGATTAGAGTCCTTCATCAAACTATTATTTGATATGCGATTATCAGTACTTGCTTATTAACAACATGCTGCTAATATGGAGATTTGATCAAGCTTAAAAATATGAAAGAGAACAATATAATGGATATTGCATATTCAGATGCAAAGTATTACCATTCTTAGGGCTTAAGTCTAAGGTATTGTAAATTGCAAGCTTTTTTGTCTAAAAAAAATCTATGCAACAGTTTAAAACTGATACCTTGAAATGTGTCTTTTTCATGGATATATAGTATAGGTTCTCAGGAAGGAATGATATAATATGTCCAGAAATTGAGATTTGCACTACAAGAACATTTAGTTCTTTATTCAGCATCTGTCAAAACTGCACGTACTGTATATTTCCTCACAAAGAAGAAATGATTTGTTAGTAACCTTGACAGTCTATACACCTTAAAAATCTTTACATTCGAGATCGATCATGTGACTTGACTGTGACAGACAAATGTCTGCAATCACAACAGTACCCTCTCCTGGTATTACTGCGCAACAGCGTCATACATGTACAGTGGAAGGAAGACTTTCTACAAATGGTCCCCAGAGCCAATATCCTGGTTAGGCTCCTTGGATTTGTAGACCCCTTTCGTCGACTGATTACTAAAGGCCGGCTTTATACCAAGACTATGACTAATAAGTCAGTCATTTCATTCAGGTAAACATTGTTAATAAAATACTTAAGACCTCAACGACCAGACTGCAACACATCTTAGTCTGGATTTGAAAGCACAAGCTTCATAAAGTGAAATATTTACACAGCCTATGCAAAGATGTGTCAATCAACCTCAATCCTTGATCATTGGCCACATTTTTTCTTTTTCATTAAAATAAATGGCATCTCTTGCTGTGATTTTGATAGGCATACTTTTTCCTCAGCCATTTTGTACCTCTTCAATGGTATTTTTTGTTACTCAAATTGGTATTAAAAAAAGGAATTTTCTTCATCATCCACAAGAGATACAGGTGCAAACTGTCTATAAATACATTCCAGTCACATAGTGGATATAACAGCAATTGTTTTCATTGTTCCAAGTAGTGCGTCCACATTAAATCATTCTATTATGTGACTTTTTTTTCTGTATACTTCATGGACAAACGGGAATATTGATGACCATACTCCACTCCATGCTGCCCGCAAGCAAGCAAATTACCTTAAATTGCATAGATTTCTGTTAAAAGAGAAGACTCAGCATAAATTTGTAATGCACAAAATTACCCAGCATCCAAGCAAACTACTCCTAACTGTAGACTTCATTTTAATAATACTGTATATTCTCTAATCCAGCCTCTGTAGTTCTGAAGAAAGGATGACAACACCATATGATTTTGTACACTGCGCAGTTTGTGTTAAAGACTCTCAGTTATACTTGAGTACCAGAAAGTGAAAATCACATACATAAAAGAAAGAAGCCAGTGAATCTGACATCAAAGGACTGAAGGAGCATGTAGATAAGCGAGCAGTGGTGCTGCAATAGCAAAGCAGTGTGCTGACAGGCTGAAGACCAGAAAAGAGCGTCAGTGCAGCTCCCACAAGTACCTCCCTCTCTCCTCAGTACACAGCCACAGCTGGCTGGGAACACGGCTTTTACGGATCACTGCATTCGGCTCGTTAAGGAACACAGACTTTGAAATGTTCACGGCCTGTGGTATGACGCCACACTAACACCTGGATACACAGCACATCAGACTGCCATTTTGCCGCAATGGAAAAAGAAAGTTATTTTCCTTTGGAGCTTTATAACCCTTTAAAAAACAGATTTCATATTCTATCTCGGGGAGAAGGAATTACACTCCAGCGAAAGATAAACTAAGGGCATTTAGAACAAATGTGCAAAAAGCAGCAATTCTGAAAGATACTTTGACTGCGGCAGGACATGTCTGGGTCCTCTGATAACGAAGCCTACAGTAGTAGTGTTATTAAACTCATGTTGAAAATTACGATGTCCGTGTGGGTTGTTTTAAAAAACATACACATGTAAGATGTTAGATATGTAAGATTGCTTTACACTATGTCTGGTGACTTCTGTGTCTGCAGTGGGTGCCTCTTTGAGAAAGTCTCTGTGGAGGTCTTTTAATTTATTTTATCAAAATTTAGAGGCAAATGGCTTGAGTTTCTTTGCTCAACTGCTGTCATCAGATGACGTTCAGTAGCACCTGATAAGGCGGCGTACTTTTTACAAAGGGCAGTCCCTTGTTATGTGTTACAAATGTGTCCTTGAAACAGAAATAAAACATGCTGAAAATAATCCTAAACTTGGATACAATCCTTTAATGAAACAAGTAAATGCTCATTCCACAGTAAAACCCAAAAAGAAGACACAAAATTTTAGCTGTGGAGCAAAATTCCAGGTGTGTTCAAAGCAGAAACATTGTTTCTTATTTCCTTCTACTTTTCAGCATGGAATTAACCTGCTTGTTTTTTAGAGCCTGCAAGATGATGCAGCTCTCCACTGAGTCATTTCCTTATTCACTGATATTATCATTGAATGGATAGTATCCCCATGTATCTAATATAATTGAAAAGAGGGTCAAAAAGGACTTATTTTTTTCATATGGTCCATTGTTTTTAATCTTTATTAAAAATGTTTATTAAACTAATCAATACAAGGCATTTTTCCTGCACATCTTACCCAGGTTTACTGTGGAAGGAAGGAAGCCTTTGCAATGAAATCCTGTTTTCCATACTATACCCATGAGTACACCAGTACTCCAGATCAACCAGAGTGTTCCAGGGAGAGCAGGGAGGTGCAGGAAGGCAGGAAGAAAGGCAGATACATACGCAGGAGAAAGAGGCAGAATGTAACCATGTGAGGACAACCTTCCGCCTCGTTTGAGGCGCTCCGAGCGGAAGTTTTCATAGTGGAGATCCTGGGTCACTTCCTGTAGGTCCTGCATGTGGGTTCTGATAAAAGAAAGAACAGCAAATTATGCCTAAACAAATGTCTCACAACTAACTGTTCAGTGCCAACCTACTGTATAATGTTTTGCTAAATACTTGTGAGGGAAAATATATGTGATAAGACATACGTGGTTTAAGCCTCCTGTAAACGATGTGATCGATTAGAAAGGATTAACTAGGATCTTTATGAACTTATGATCCTTTAGCATTTACTGTATTGTTCAACTGTTCAATTTTCTTTCAGGTTCCATTACAACTTAAACATTTCAACTTCCCCATTCACAGCTGATCAGCTACAGCTGGCTGGAACTTCAGAAGGGAAAAATTCTGTAACGGCACTGCAGCCCAGACATAAACTGGAGTCTTTATACTGCTCTACACTGATTCCCAGCTCACTTATCAAACCACTTTGAACAGACAGCTGCTCACGCTCGGTGACCTTGGCCTGTCTGTATTTTAGCCCCTCATCTGGACTGATACCGCAGAAGGGACCCAGTCCTGTAAGTGAAGCTCCCTCACTCACATGAGCATGGTGCGCAGCTTGAGGAAGTCATTGTGCTCAGGGTTCTCCACCTCCACGACACCCCAGGGGTACAGCCGGCCTCGCACCTTCTTCCCCTTGGCCTCAATCTGCTGATTGGACCCCACGACTGCGAACGGGATACTGGTCTGGGAAGCACATATACATATCGAAACATCACGATCTTACTACTGCTTCCCACCACGGGACTTCGTCTCTCTTCACTCAATACAGCCTGACTCCAGTTTAACAAAGGATTAGACTTCTTCAATCTGTTGAGAAGTAAAGTGAGACATCAACAGACCTATCAGAATTATATATTACGTGGTTTCAGAAGTGAATGCGATAAATGTCAACTACACAATATTACAGAGAAAGGTGTACAAGGAATAAAATTTAAAAATGTTGTTAGCTTGAATTTCATATTCTAAACACATCTTCCAATCTTAGTATGAAGACTTCCTATGGGACATATTCAGTCTGTATCAACAGTGCATAACATATATATAGGTGGAAATTATTATGCATACCCACAGGGTAAAGTCAAATGTAGTCCTGGATTTTGCGCATTTTACCACAAGAGGCCGCCACTTCAGTGAAGTTGAATAATTTCTGCTAAACAAGTGTGGAGACTGTCACTCTTTTAAAAGGCACCTTGAGAATTCGGGTCTGTTCTTTAAAATCCTCATCCTCATCAGACTCTGCGTCAGGGAGGTGGTAGATCTTGATGCCATGCTCATCAATCTCATCTAAAATCTGCAGCAGAGAAAACAACATTCATGTTTTTTACAACAGTTCTTCCACTCTCCACTGCTTACAACTCTGACAGGAATCATCTTGAATTTACAGAAACCAAACTTTGAAATGTCAAAGCAAAATCTGGAACTGAGAAAAAGTCTGTCCTACCCTGCGCTTGAGCCTCTCTCGCTCCTTCAGTGTGAGGGTGTCAGCCTTGGCAATGACAGGGACCACGTTGACTTTGTTATGAATTGCCTTCATGAACTGGACATCTAGGGGCTTCAGGCTGAAACACAAAAAACAGAGTCTCAGAAACGGCAGTAACACAGAGTCCAACACAGGGTGGAAATCCTGTGCTAAATGCAACCAAAAAAACAAAGCCCATGTGTGTGATCTCTCCCTGACAATTCTAAATGGTCATCTAGGTAGCTGCATGACCTACTTGAAATGGCTAATATAAGGAATGCTGAGCTGTTCAAAGAAAAACATTAAAGAGATAAGATTTTGTCATCTTGAACATGATGGACGACTTTGTCCAGTTTTCTTAAAGGGCAATCACAATCAAATAGCCATGTCCAATCCTGGTCCAGGAGGGCTGGTGTGTATGCAGGTTTTCAATGTCTCTTTAAAGCAACAGCAGCAGAAAAACCAGCCCTACTAATGTGGTCCAACTGGTGCAGAGCTGGAATGAACACCTGTAGATCAGCCCTCCAAATCAGGATAGGACTCCTGTGAAACTAAAGCCAAAAGCTAGCTGTTTAGTTCATATTGACGGGGACACTATACTGTAAACAGGCGCCATCCTTCGGATGAGACGTAAAACCAAGGTCCTGACTCTCTCTGGTCATTAAAAATCCCAGGGCGTTTCTCGTAAAGAGTAGGGGTGTAACCCCGGCGTCCTGGGCAAATTTCCCATTGGCCCTTACCAATCATGGCCTCCTAATAATCCCCATCTATGAATTGGTTTCATTACTCTGCTCTCCTCCCCACTGATAGCTGGTGTGTGGTGAGCGTTCTGGCGCACTATGGCTGCCGTTGCATCATCCAGGTGGATGCTGCACATTGGTGGTGGTGGAAGGGAGTCCCCATTACCTGTAAAGCGCTTTGAGTGGAGTGTCCAGAAAAGCGCTATTTAAATGTAAGCAATTATTATTATTATTATTATATTGGGTTTGTCATATACGGAATATGCACAGAGTGGAATATGCGCAGAGCAATAACGTAAAAAGTACAACTACATAAAGTAAGGTCAAGAAGGTTACAGGACAAATGTCCTCTTTCACTTCAGAACAGACAACAGAACACTTGTCACATTGCTTACCCATGGCCCAGAGGAGAAATGAAGTAGAAGCAGCAGTGCACGCGGTTGTCCACTATGTGCCTGCGGTTCAAACCACTCTCGTCGTGAAGGTATCGCTCGAACTGGTCATCGATGTAGGATATAATGGTGCTAAAGCTGTCGGAAAGGGTGAAATGAAACATTTTCTTTGTTTACTGGGAACGCTCTCGCTCAACAAATGAACCAATCTGGTGCTGATTTATTTGGTGTCCAAAACACTTCTACCATCATCTAATTGCATTTTTGTAAACCAAAGTACAACTTTCAGAGATTTACAACAATAATTCAAGTTGATCAATTTGTCATTCGACAAATGATCAAATGATCACTCTAACTCTAGCCGCATGCATCCTACATTTTGGTTTCCTTTTAAAAATGTATGTTTTCTATCAGCAAAAAGGAATCCCAGCCGAAACAATACAAACCCACATGCTGTATTACATACAACAAGATAATGTGACAAGCAATGGGATAGGAGGGAAAATCTTCACAATACTGACAGGCCTGCTGTTTAAAGGCTACAGTTCTCATCCTTCCACCATTCCAGATGTTTCCTGTCCTGGTTAGAGGCTTTTGGCCACTCCCAGCACATCAGACAGGACTGGAATAGGAGAGGGATGATGTGAGCACGAGAACACCAGATATGAAAGGCTGAGAGTTATGCTGTCCAGATGGCAGCAGAGGGGAAAACATGGCCTAAAGGAGAAAGGGAAGCTTGGGGAGGACAGACACTGGGCTTTCCTGCAGTTCAGCCCTGCCTGTCCCACCACCACCAGCCCAGAAAGACGGAACGTGTTTTCCCTAAAGGAATAATCGCTACCGATACAGCGGGCAGACTTAACTCTGAACTAGAACCTTTGCTACATAAAGCAGAAAGGGTTAGTTAAATTCATGCTTAATAAATGAATTAGTCCATTTTGCTACTTTTGTTAAAAAGTGTAATTTACAAATTGTACAAACATTTTTTAAAGTTAGCTCATTGTTGACAACCAAGATAAAATATAGGTAGCTATTTTGATTTACACAGGAAGACTCTTTTCCTGCTTTTAATAAACTTAACTTACTTCATGCTTTCTAAGTATAAGTTAGTTAAAAAGTGCCAATAAGTTTGGGGAGAAGGAATTTGTGTGATGGATCACATGGCTCAAAATGATTCATGACTCACCGCAGATGTAAAAAGTATAACTTTTCACTTGCAAGCTTGGTTTTGGTTGCCAACTGTTTAGGTCTTCAAACACAAGGGTTATGAAATGCAAGTAATGACGGAGTAAGGTAGGATGTAATACCAGTCCTGGCTGTTAATAGCATCGCCATAGCCTGGTGTGTCCACCACCGTAAGTCTGAGCTTCACCCCTCGCTCCTCGATCTCCACTGTGGAGGCCTCGATCTGCACCGTGCGCTCGATCTTCTCTGCAGAGCACACACAGCAATGAGCAATGGTCTTTTATCAGATCCCAGGCTTAAAGGGCAGTTCAGTGTGAAATACAGAAGAAACATCTTACATCCTCTTTGTGTCTCCAGCTGTGGTCTGCGTGTTGAGCTCTAAGTAAGTGCCTGTATCGACTAGTGTAACTCGTTTATTTGTTTTTACTTCACATTTTCAGATAAGAAGGGCCTGGATGTTCCTTTTTTCTGAAAAGACCACATCTGCTCTACTTTGCCAAGACACAGTCACGTGATATCCCAACCTCTTTTTTTTTCTACTTCTAACCACAGTGGTAGCTGGAGACACTGGAGACAAAAATAAAGTGGGGGTGCACAGGCTGAAAAATACTTCAGCAAGGCACTATTTTCTTTATATTCGGCCAATGGTTATTGTTTGGTTATGGTCATAGTTTGTGAAAGTTTAGTTTAGAGAAAACAAGAATTGCTAGCTAAACATGTATGCAAGAGAAAACTATATAGGATAGGCTGGAGAGTCTTAAAACATACTGCTTACCACATGAAAGACTCAGGAAATACCACAAAGCAGCTAACAACAAACCGGATGCACAAAAGATGTACTCTAGCTAACAGACTTTATTATAATAATATATAAATGTTCATCCGTTCAGCAATGATGGTAACAGTATGTACCTGAAAGCTTGAGAGCCTCAGAATTAACAGCAAAAATAAACACTCTTACCTGCAGCTCCAGGGATGACTCTCTCAGGGTAAAGGTCAGTGAGAAACAGGCTGTTAATCAGAGTGGATTTCCCTAGGCCTGACTCTCCTAGAAAGAGAACAAATAACTTGTTAATAGAATTTGTGCAAGCTCTTTTTAAAATAACTTAATAAACATTTTCTTTTATTTTAATGATCTCCAGTAATGCTCCTTCAACAACACCATAAAGAACATTTTTTTTATTTGCCCTGTTCATTTAGCTAATCCCATTTATCACACAGTACTGTGAATGGGCATCTAAAATCTGCACTGCCCGAAAACCAACATGTTAGAAAAGTGGGAGGTCCTTAACAAAAGGGTTCACTCAAACACACATTTCCATCCTGTCTGAAAGATGTGTACTCCTGGAGAATAAACATCTCTATGCTTAAAACAATGGGGTGATATCAGATGTATAGCAAATACTAGGAAATTCAGATAAGATGCCATTTCTGCCAGCCAGGCACTTCCCATTGACTCTTTCGGACAAGGAACAAGCCTGCTTTAAATTAACCATATGTGTCGTATATTTCGATCAACAAGACTGTTTACACAGTACTGCTGTTGTTTTGTATGTAGTCCTCAGAAGAACAAGCTTATGACTGAGAGACATATGACAGCAGTATTACAATAGCATTTAACACTACAATTGTTTTGCAGTTTGCAGAGAGTTTATGAGATTGTGCATCCTACTGTCCCATGTCTATGTTTAGCAGAATCTTTTCTGAAACCAAGTTAGAATGTGAGCTTTCTTGAGCTGGTTTCTGGAACAGATTGGAGATTCCACAGTGACTTAGTTAAAAGAACAGGGGTGAGTTTCTATAAACTGACTGCTCTGAATGTAGCTCCCATCCCCAAATTAATTCCATGGTCTCAAAACTCCTGGGAATGGAGCCTATTTGTTTTTCTGAACAGACACCCTCAGTGCAACATTGCAATTCAGTGCAGCTGGAACTTTTCAGTGAGCAAGAAATGTTGAACCCACATTTTTTTTTCATTTAGTTTTGGGGCTTTTCCATTTGCAGTATGCAGTAACTACATTTTGAACTTCTTTTGACTAACAGATTTTTTTATTTCCATTCCCCCCCCCCCATTTTCCTGAAAGTCTTTCTTGCTTTGCAATCACATTCCATGCAGGCTGTGAGCTGTGAAGGTGTATAAAACAATGAAACGTGGGTCACGTTAGGCATAACAGAACTCTCCAACAGGAGCAAAGGAGAAGTGAAGCTGACCTGCAGGGGGGACACATAATGCCCTTGGCCAAGGGTGGGCATATACAGAGTTAAAACTGAAAGTGCAAACTTGCTAACCCATTCTTTAGATACCTCCATTTTGTTCACTTTCTGTGCAACTCTGTCTAATGACAGACCTAACTGCAACAGACACACTTTACTATTCAAACAAACTTGGTTCAAATATTTTTCAAAAGGAAATTCAAATCACATTTTCCAAAAACAGATGCAAATACCTTAAGCACCGCCGAATGGGTTAACCAGCATTTCTAAGTTAAATTTACTTACTGGTCGAAAGTTTAAAAATCCCCCGATAAGAAAAGAAACACTCCACCTGTTAGAAATCTTTGCAAATCTTTCTGATCCATTTAGCTGTTCTGGGAACTTTGGTTTGATCTGAAACTAGGCAGAACAGACCCCGGCAGCTTGTTCATGTTCCACATTGCTAGTGCTTGGTTGCGAGAGGGAACTCACTTACCCACCACCATCAAAGTGAACTCAAAGCCTTTCTTGACAGATTTACGATGGACCTGGTTGGGCAGGTTGGCGAAACCCACATAGCCTGGAGTCTCTGGGTTGGAGAACTGGCCCTGCTGAGGAGTAGACAAGAAATGCCAGATATCAACTCAGATGCTGCAAAGCTAGGGATACCATTTACTTTGAATAATCATTGAATACCTATACTTGAAATAACGCCCCATTTCTACTGATCAGCTGTAATGCAGACCTCAGCTTCGCTGTCTTCACCTTCGGGGTTAAAAGTGGGCTAAGATGCCTCAAGCGGATGAGTCTTCTAAAGATATGTAGTGATAAAGTTTCATGGTCGTACTTAATGATTCCCAATTGGTCCAAATGGACATGTCTTCACAAAGTGGGCTGCCTTGTGCCCACTCTAAAGTAAGAGATAGCTAAAGCTTCTCAAGGATGTCATATTGCTTCTCATGAAATTTGCAACAGTTCTGCAATGCAGTACATCCCATTTTGCCCATATCCAGAATAACTTTCCAACTTAACCATATGGAATGTGTGCTGCTTGTTTAGATAACTGTATTACAACAGAGGTAAGAAATAAAACAAACGAGTTTTGTGAACTCAATGATGGACTTGGAACAAGTCAACACAGAACAATATTAGAACTTTAAGGCTACATATCCTGTTATTGTGCGAGAATTTGTTGTGTTCTTTATTTGCCATGCAGATTTATGGCTCCACCTGAGAGACTGGGACTATAGATGAGATGACTTATCAGAATTCCAGGTTTTGCCAATTTTTCAGTTTTATTTCTGTATTTAACTATTAATTTTTTTCTATATAGTTCTATTTCAAGTTGGTCTGTTTGGTTTAACCCTGTCACTTCTGTATCTTGGCATTTACGTGTAGTGAGTTTGTCTAACTCTACAGACCAGATTTGTCTTCTGGTACCCCTTCCATTCTGAAGATTCTATTTTGGCCTCAACATTACGCAATAAGGATTGTGCATTCATCTGAAAGACTCACAAAGGCACAGAAAACATGGCAAGCTCATTCTCCTTTTTCTCATAATCATAACACGCGTAGACACTTAGACGTTTTGTGGGTATCCAGGGGTAATGAGATCTAGGAATAAGTCTCTTCTTGTTTGTCTAGTACTCTAAACGAGGCTATTCCTGGTAGGAAAGGGGGTACTTCAGCAAGATGATGACTCTAATCTGGCCTCCAGCAGCTGCAAATACAGTATGAATCTGGGTGGCTGGTCTGATGGCAGATAAAACGTTCCCATTGTGGCACTGGGAGCCTGGGGCACAGGGAGGATATTATTCAGATGGAATTTTGAAGAGCTGCTCGGGTCAACGGTGCTGGTGGGGGGATACTGGGGGGGCTGGCAGAACCCCTTGCTGTTTGGGGTTCTATGTAGCCCCATTCTCCTACACAGTAAAAGCCCTCGTATTAGATAACCATGCATCTTGAAACCTCATCTTGAAAATCAGGAAATATAAATAATAATAATCGATAAAAATGTACATTAAAGTAAACAATATTCTTGGCAATAGTGTAAGTTTGAATACTGCAGGCACAGCAGTGATTTGCTTCACTCCCACCAGTGCAGCCAGTTTTAACACTTGACTGAAGCTTCATCAGGGGATGGCAAGTACCATATTCCTTAAGTTTCCCCATTTTTTTGTTTATTTACATTACATTATTATACTACATGACAATTTGATTTTTTATTCTCAGTGCAGAGTTGTCCTTATCATTTTGCTTAAGGTTAGGTATCACTGTGTGTCAGTCTGCTTGAATCTCATCTATCCGCTAAGTCTGGAACGCCTAACCCTTCCTCTTCTTGCTGATACGAGCGAGGGGGGGCTACTGTACTAGGGGGTCCTTCTGATAGAAACCTGAAGGGGAGGACCTCTAGGGGAGATGGGGGACATTATTCTTTGTTGTACATTATTTGAAAAACAAAATCTACGGCATTGATTAAAGATCTTGGTTGGAAAGGAATGAGTCAGCGGTACACTACATTCCTCCAGCCTGACTGGGGCACAGTGGGGTCACACAGCACACCCAACACCAGCAGAGGAGAAACATCTGGGAGGCTTTAAGTATAGTAATACTGGGACAAAACAGGGGGAATCTGAAGAGAGCTCTTATAATCGTCCCCGCTTTCCAAAACATATTACCATTTGTATACAACACTGTAGGTGTTCAAACTCTTTATCTGGACAGTTGTATTCTACAATAATCAGGCATTTCAGATAAAAAGGTTATGATTTCCACCTTTCTAAAGGAATATGGGAGAGTAAATTTTTGAAAAATGTTTTTTGCTCCTTGTCAAAGCATTATGGAGCAAGACAGCTGTTTGCCGCATGTTTTTCTCATTCACTGTTGCTTTAACTTTCAGAATGTATTTAAACAAACAGTCATTATGGTAAATAATGGAAGAATGGCAGGAAAAAAAGCAGAATAAATCACTGGACAATGAAAGAGCAGGAAAAGGAATAGCAGAAACAAGCTACTAGACCCTGAATAGTAATTCACAACTTGATAGTCAGATGTAAATGAGCAACATGATACTGAGCAACTATACAATACTGTCATAAGAAAAATCTAAGAGGAATTGACATCCTCTCACTCTTACACTACTTTTTACTTCATTCAGTATATTTTATGCCAGATCATTACAAAATATGTGCTACAGATGGCAATGGTTTAATATTTGTTCTTAAATCCTAATAACATTAGAGAATATTCACGTAAACTATTAAATGTAGTTTGTCTGAAGGGTGTGCAGTAATCACCTCACAAAAATGTCACTTCTGGTTACAATTCCCTGGCTTAGGCAGGTTTCACTGTACACATACTGTTATCATTCACTGTTCCAAAGAGGCTTACCTTCAGTTTCTCAGCCTGGGACATGTTGAGTTCTGACCTGCCCAAAAAGACAAGAGTTTCAATTACACTACGCTTATTCATTTTGTGTGATTACAAGTAATGTGTTTGACACATGAATCATGAGATCTGTGTAACTGTAAGCGGCATGTAACGTTGTAGAACACTTCTCCTTTAGCGTGAAAAAACTCCTTGAAACCATATATTGCAAAAAAACAAAAATGCATTTTGCTAATCAAGTGCCATAATAATGGTTTTGAAATTTTTTTTTTGATAATCAGAGGTTCAAATCTGAGAAAACATACCCTACAGACCTTGATTATGCAAAAGGCACAGCAGATAAAGTGTGAGGTTCAAGTTATTATTCCAAATCAGTGGGTCTGCTCTCATGCCGTTCTTGGACGCCCTGCGATAGCAGGAAGTCAGCTTGTCTCTTACGCTGCCTAGTCCCTGCTCACTGAATGACTAATCGGACTTCTGAATGCATGCCATCACCACAGCACTGGGCCAGACAGAGCCAGGCCAATCCTCTAAGGCTGAGCATCATGCCAAAGCTAAAAAGCCTGCAGCCTTCTATTTAAAAAAAACTCTGACCTTTGGGTAGTAATTTCATGTTAAAAGATATCTGAATCAACAAGCCACCAAAATCCCAAACTGACCTGAAGCAGAATGTACAGTATGCCTGTCTTCACCTACAGGCCAACGACAGACAAAGCACCTGAAGGAATCCAGTCGTTCCCTGAGGCTCTGGGGCAGGTCCTTTAACTGACTCAATCTATCCCACCCAAATGCGACTTTGGTCTGAGAATGCCTACTCTCTTCAGGCTATAAGACACATCCTGCATTTTGAGCTGAAGCTTTTAATGAATGGAAAACTCAAGTTGTCCAATATGTTCCGCTGTTTATAAAGCCACTTGGTAATGAAAATGATGTTCCTTTAATAATGAAAACAGTTCAAATTGGAGCACTTCTAACAATCACGGGACCATTCCCTGCAATGCTATTATTTCTTTCTTAATAAAAGCTTTAGTGATATGACAGATCACAGTCAAACCAATAAATTACAGCAGATCAATTTACAGTGGATGACCTGGTTTGAAACGCCTATGATGCAATATGAAAGTATCCCTCATCTTAGTTAAGTGACTACTTTACATTCAAGGACCCCTCTCTGACAGACTGCTCATAGAGGTGCAAGTCAAGCCCAGAAGTGAGCAGGCAATGGGATCTACAGCTCACTGAACCCAGAAAGGTTGAAACCGTGTGCTAAAAATGGGGACAGTTGTGGTGCTTAGAGAGAAGGCCAAGGGAACTCAGAATAGACACTTCAAACCACACCACAGCTATGCTGCTACTCAGTCACCATAATCAACAACCCTTCAGACAGAAAAACGACACAGAGCTCTTTTAATGCCGAACAAAGAAGGCACTGGTTATTCGCCAATCAGATGAAGTGTGGCTTACTTTCTGAGTTGTCCTGATTTCCTTTCTTAGTGGTTACACTCCCCTACTGAATTACACTGTCCAGTTTTCAGTTTTTCACCCATGTTGTAGGGTATTTGTCATGCAAACCTACCTGCATGCATAAAATGTGGCTAAGTTAAAAAAAAGTTCACACAAAGCTCTTAAACGTAATGATGAACCACTCTAACCGTTGGGACAGTAGTTAAGATGTCACTGACGAATTTTGCTTATCGGTTATTCTTTATTGAAATACAATAAATAGAGCAAGGCTCTGATAAACACTAAAATACCTACTGAAAACAACCTAGGCTGTTACTTTCTCTATCTACAAAGAGTGTTAAACTTGAAAAACAGTGAAAACGCTATTGTTTATCAAGAAAGATGAGTCATAAAACGAACACGTATATTTCTAATTAAGATGATAAAAGATGCTGGCGAAAGCAAACGAAGAAACGTTTCTATTTTTGTATTTCCTATAATATTAATGGAAGAAAACCAAAGACTGGTAAAAATCTCATGAAGAAAAGAATTTACAGGATACGTAATTGTGACTGAACCTACTCAAGATCGTAAACCCGGCTACAGACTGCAAAAGATCCGAATAGGCAAAGCTTACAAAACTTTCTGGCATGCTTTCTCGCTAGAAAACCACGACAGAACCTACTGTCAACAATATTAATTGCAACTGGTCTCAATACACCAAACCTTTAAAAAACATAGGAAAATTGTAAGCCTTAGTGATTTATCGACAGCCATTTTGTTTACATTTAACAAAAAAAAAACATTGAGAGCCTCAAATTGACAATAGTCAACACAGGGGAAACTAAGGCCCTGGCATTTCCTGTCGGTATAATTTGCTGAGACACAAGAACCGAAATTCAAGACCATGCATCGAGCTGCTTGCAAATGTCAACCACTCCCTTCAAATAATTTAGCCCGAAAATTTAAACTGTATTTTTAAATAGAAGGAAGTAAACGCTAACACCTTACTCATAAACAAAATATTATTCCGTTATTTCTCAGATTGAATAGAAAAGTCACATATTCCTTGATGACACACAATCGGTAAAAGCTAGCGATTCCGTACAAGTGATTTTATCCGCCTTTCTAAAAGAAAGAACAGGCAAACCGGGTCACATAACTCAAATTCCGTTAGTGATGCCTGGTGATGCTGTTTCAGGCTAAAGGACGCGAACCAGAGAACGATGCACGACAGGAAAAGAGCTTAAACGGGTTTTTTTTCTAAAACATAAGCACAAAGTAAAAACCGCGAATGGAACCCTTACCTTTAAAGTACGAACGACTTGAAAATTGAGTTGAATCTCTCGGAGGAAACTGAAGCAGTGAGAATCCTTGTTTTCTTTAAATTACACCCTCCAGATTCTTCAAATTCCGCAGTCGAGCCTCCAGCTTCTCACAGACGAAACCCAGAATCCTCCGCGACCAGATCCTCCAACAACCCATAATGCAACGCTTGTACTTCGACTTATTATTTAGAATAATATTTACTGTTATTTACTGTTGCTCTTCCATTTTTATTTCAATATATGTATATAAACATGATATTCAATTTTACATACTACATACATAACGGGTGAAGTTTATTGCAACATAATCATGTAAGAAGTCTACCAATTACAGTGGTTGGCTCTAGAATGTAAACTGAACTTGCAGATACTTTCGGCTTTATCTTTTCTCAGTACTAGTACATATTCAGTGCCGCCATACTGCGTTTCCAGAGGCGGAGTAACTTGCCTTTGGATTCATTTACAGACCCACTTTGCTTACCAAAATCATCATGAGGTAGACCTGGATGATGGTTCTATAAAAACGGATCCTCTTGCTATTTTATCTTTCTATGTTTTTTTCTCACATTGCGTGTTAGTGAAGTGATATTTAACAAATGGCTCTTACAAAAATGTGTGGTTTGAGTCATAATATTTGTTAAAAACAACTAGAGGGTTGCAAACCTGAATCAACTCTACGTTTCTATTATAAGTATTTGGTGATCTGAGTTCACAAAATGTCACATTATTTAGCAATATAGTTAATCTCAAAATGGATTTTTTAGAATATGCTATTGCTCAAAAGAAACAACAAAAGATTGATTTTTTGCGCTAATTCTCCGGGGCTTCAAAAAACAGTTTTATGCGATTTGTCCAATCAACCTTTTCATATAAACCAAGCTATGTAAAACTATAGTGTATTTTCGACTTACATTTCACTGCAGTGACTCTAAATACATAACCTAAAAAATGTTTTTTTTACATTAGTTAAAATATTTAAATATATATTAGGCAATAAATTAAAACTAGGCGTGGAAGGAAACATTACTGAATCTTTTACCAACTGTAGGAGCAGTTAAAAGTTTGTAAGTCTTCCTAAATCAGGAAATAACAGTGTAATACTGCCACCTTGTGGTTACATTTTAAATTATTTTCACTGTTGGCGTTTTATCATCAAAAATTGGCAAGGAAGCTATAAAGAGTTTAGATCAATGACTTTTACTATCCGATGATATTCAAGTTGCATGAGGTCAAATGTGTAACTTTAGTAAAGTACCAGAATACAGAAACCAATCACCTAGTAATTCGTGAAAAACACCACAAAGCTTTGATTTTTGTATTAAAATCGTTTAATACTGTTCAACACCAGAATGTGTCGTGCACAATTAAAATAAACAACTGATATAAATGTATGTTTCCGGTCATTGTCTAACAGATACGGAGATCAGAACGCGGGGGACAGTAAAGGATATCATGCTGCTCTCATTTTTTTAGAACAGAAGATCGAGTGGAAAATGAACGTTTCCTGTAGACTCACAGCCAAACGTTTTCCACAACATAGCTCCGTTGCTTGACCCACAAACCACAGCCTTGTGCTTCCTCTCTACAATCCCAGATGCAGATCCGTTTGTTATCCTTCCATGCGTTGTGGTCCTGGTTTAGATACGGATGAAGTGACCTTTGAAAAATTCGCCAGTTCCTTCCAGGTCTCGAATATCTCTGTCAAACCTTCTGTATGTTTTTATTTGATACAAGCTCAATAATTGAGTTTGTCGAAGTTTGTTTTCAGTTTATTCTATGTATTATTATTCTGTTTATTCAATAATACGTTTAATCTTACTGTTGTGGGTCGTGAAAGATTTCCAGAAATGACTACCGCGCTTTGAAACGTATACAAAAGTGTTGCTCAAGAATTTCACTTTTAAAATGTGGTAAATGATTTAATGCCATTTATTTTTGAGGAAGAAACAACTTTTCGGGTTTGAGTCCTGGTTGTTGTTTTTTGTTTTAACAATGGTTGATTTCCAGCAGTATGAAAATAAGTATATATTCCAGATAGAATATGATATACATTGTCATTCCAGGTGGATGCTGCACATTGGTGGTGGCTTGCACCCATATCACTCTGCAACTCACAACTGGCAACCCGCTTAAGCGAAGCAGGTATGAGCCTGGTCAGTACGTGGACGGGAGACCTCCTGGGAAAAACAGGTTTCTGCTAGAAGAGGTGTTAGTGGGGCCAACAGGGGGCGCTCACCCTGTGGTCCATGTGGGTCCTAATACCCCCGTATAATGACGGGGAATCTATACTGTAAACAGGCGTCGTCCTGCGGATGAGATGTAAAACCGAGGTCCTGACTCTCTGTGGCCATTAAAATTGGTGGTGGTGGAGGGGTGTCCCCATTACCTGTAAAGCGCTTTGAGTGGAGTGGACAGAAAAGCGCTATATAAGTGTAAGGAATTATTATTAAAAATCCCAGGGCGTTTCTCGAAAAGAGTAGGGGGTGTAACCCCGGCGTCCTGGCCAAATTTCCCATTGGCCCTTACCAATCATGGCCTCCTAATAATCCCCATTTTGAATGGGCTTTATTACTCTGCTCTCCTCCTCCCTGATAGTGAGCGTTCTGGCGCACCATGGCTGCCGTCGTATCATCCAGGTGGGTGGTGGTGGTGGAAGAGAGTCCCCATTACCTGTAAAGCGCTTGAGTGGAGTGTCCAGAAAAGCGCTATATAAGTGTAAGCAATTATTATTATTGGTAGCCTTTCAGAGCCACTATATTTTAAGCTAAAATGCGTTCATTCACTAGCCTGTGTGGAGCTGTTTAGACAGAAATAAATGTGGTTCCTATTTGCAAACGTTTTGGAAATGTTTGGTTCCTGCAGATTTTTCAGGATGCTGCAAATGAGAGCTTGAAATTATAGGTGAAACGGCAAAAGCTTTATTATAAACCAATGGAAAGAGGGAAAGCCCAGAATGCAAACCTCTTAGTGAAAATGAAAAAATATGTCGGTAACACTCTACAGATAACGGAAAAACTGGAGGAAAAAAAAACTTAGCAATATTGCTTCCCACAGCTTCGACAGTTGATGTGACTCGGCAGCAATACTAAATTGGTAGAAGCTAAAGCCTACAGAGTCGTGACCAAACAAAACGGTCCACTTTTCCTGCCCATTTACTTACCGTAATTGAGTTATTCTTTACGGAAACGTCTGTAACAAGTCGGAATACCCTTTTACAAAAAAACGTTAGATTAAATTTCATTATGGTACCCGGAGAAAACGTCACCAAGTCAGAAAGATATAAGGCGTGTTTGTAGGATAGGCACGTCAGTTGTGGTGTTTGCTTAAGCGAATAGTCTCTCCAGCCAGACTGACGAAAAAAAATGCCTCATAATTTCCCAGTTAAATCGCGTCACGGTAGCGAAAAAAGCTATTTAAGTAAATGATACAGGCAACACTGTAACAAACGGAAGCTGCGTACCATGTAATCTGGGCTGTCCAGCAATTGGAAAATACTGCAGAAACCGTTTTCCTTGCCTCAAACCTCTCAAGGGGCCGTTTCTAAACACTGTTTTTAAATTAATAAGCCACGACACATTTGGCAATTTTACGACAACCGGGACCCGTTTACCTCCTCCCCCCCAAATCGCCGACTGAAAATCATGTCTCATTCAGAGACTCAACAGATCGACGCTTGACTAGCACGACTCCTATACTACCACTGATACTAGCAACTACAGCAGCAGGACCTAAACATCGACGTGTACTTCTCACGAGTGTGTTTTCGCCCGTCTTTCCTATTTTCTTTTTTTTTTTCTCGGGGGGGGGGTTGGGAGGAAGGCGAGATCAGCCAGGCAAGGCCGTGACGTGGCGGCGAGCGATTGGAGGACCGGCCCTGCTATAAAAGCAACTGGCTGGTGGGCCGTTCTCTCACTCTTGGAGGTTCATTACTCGGTTCTGCACCACAGAGGGCAGAGAGGAACACCAACACGAGTAAGTATGAAATTATTCCCAAATCTGAAACGGAAGCAGCCTGTTGTGTGGGGCCAGAAAGCCCAGGCTTCCGTATCTGGCGGTCCGCAGCAACGGTTGAGCGGGGCTGGTCGCAGGTCTTATTGTAAAGTGAAATCTGTACCGTGCAAAATGTGCATAGACTGGACTCCATGTCAATTTCCCCCGACTGATTCGCCTTGTACTGCCTACGTGGACTTTGTGCTAGTGCAGTTCTAGTGCTAGCCTCCCTTTGTGTGCATGGGGGGAAAAAGAGGCCAACGAAATAATTTTCTTGTACTACATTGGTAGTGGGTAACCACGTCCTAGTCTCTCTTGGTTGCTCCTTTTAAAATTGATTGTAATTTTTTTTTATACAAGTTTGCCAAATGGAGTCTCGAGTGAGCAGGTCGCTACGTGTCACTATTGCGCAGGCGCAAGTCAAAGTTTATTAAAAGTTTGCTAAAGTCAGTTTTTAATTTGTGCCCGTTGAACTTTCACTTGGTGTGCGTATCTGTATGTATTGTACTTAAATTCACAGTCGTGCCTTAAGTTAAAGTAAATAACCGTCGTCTTGATTTCTTGGGATTTACGTTCTCAAGCTGCTTGTTTTAAGTTCTCCCTAAAATTTATATTTTTCCCTAGTTATCGCACGTGTTTTTCATTCAGTAAATTGGGTGCTTTTATCAACTTTATCGTATGATTTCGGTTAAATTCGCTTTTGTTTCAGAAGTGTAGGTCCTTGTCCCGTGTTAACGCTGTGCAAACATTGGGTAAGTGCAGGCTGTTGGTCAAAGCGGAGACTTGATGAGGTGGCCATCTGGTTGCGTGGTATCGACCTAGCGCTTGAATTGTTTTTTTTCTGGAATTGGGTGTGATTGTGCTAAAGAAGTCCTGCGTTGTCTGTGACAAGGTGACAGGAATTGCTGAAGGCTGGTTCACGGAGAATTTTAGTTCAGTGTTTGCGGGACTAAGACGATCCAGGTTTAAGCTGACGTGTGCACATCTTGGTACACGACGGCCGGGCGGATTCGCACCGAACAGCTGCGTGATATTTGAAGTGATTAAGTCGAGGTTCGTTTCTAAGATTCGAAAAACGTGACCACTTTAAATTGAGCTGACCTTCATCTTTGGCTGGTTCATAACCTGACATTTTGTTTAGATGCACTGAACATGAAGAAATGCGCCCTGAAGCGTTCATCTTCATTTCTTTATTGGATTGACTTTCCGTTTATGCAACTGTAAATAAGTTTTTTTTCTTCTCGTTTGTTAATGGTCCAATGTGAAAATCTGAATTTCTTCGTAATTGTCTAGTTTTGAAAGCCTTTTTTAGCGCCTGCTTTTGTTAATAGCGATGACAAAATGTCATTAGTCACTTGGCAAAGCAGTTAAAGCCAAATTTCATACTGAAGGTTACAAAATGCGTGAAAGCCAGTTGCCAAGCAATTAGATGCCACATTCTACCACAGGAAGACGAGACTTTCTCTGCAGACTTTGAACCACCAGCATTGTAGGTTACCTTCAAGATTATTTTTGGTGATTTGAGGAACATGGTGGTCTTGTAAGGCTGCAGTTGTACATTTTATAGGTCAGTGTTAAAGAAGGTTGTTTTGTCATCCTTCTGGACTTACTGTAGCTCTTGACTCCACCCAAGGAATGTTGGAGGGGGGAGACATTGAGATTCATATTGAGAGAAACAGTTTGTGGCTTCACACAACTTTAAAATGGCAACAGTAGGATATCCAACTTGTGGGATGTCTTAGTTTGGGTCTTGTCATTTTTTTCCTTTTACCATGGAACAGCCTGTTTTAATGGAAGGGGTTGCTTAAGTGTTCTGGCTCCTTGACCTGATGAGACTGAAGATCTGCCAGAGCACGCTTTCCGTCTGCCTGCGATAGATGTCAACTGAAAGTCACGTTGCGACCTCCTGTCCTGAAGGTGAAAGAGCTTTAGAAGGTGTCTCTGCCTGTACGTCACTGCATAACCTGCAGGTGGAGGCTCTTGCGGTTTGAGAAACTCCGATTTTAGGCCATTGCTTAGGCTAATTAGTCATTTTTTAGGCATTCCAGACCTGGCCTTCCATGACGTAGGAACTAATCAAGTGAGTGGAGTCTCGATATTTCTCCTGAATGATTGTTGCCATATGCTTGCTGCGTGTTGGGACACTTTATTGAAGCGCAATACTGCCTTTTCGTGGATGCACGAGTGTGATTTGCTGTTAAGAGGCACATTGTAATGTTCCTGCACCTGCGGTTTCTGGTTGGTAAGTGGTTTCATCCTGGTGTGCCTGAACATGAAACCAAGAAATGTACCGTGTTTACGGGGGGGATAACGCGTCTAACTGGGGAGTTTCACTGTAACGAATGTTTAAATGGAGGGGGGTGGAGGGGGAGAGCCCTGTAGGATCATGGGGCTTCCAGGTTCTTTGCTTATTTCTGCCTCTTGAAACTGCAGAGTTGATGTACGCTGCACCCTGTAACTTCCTGCTCTTCCAAAGTATTTGGATCTGCGTTGCATATCTAACTTGATTCTGCAGAACCGTTTCTTAACTTTAAGTTGCTTAAACTTTCATTTTTTCACCAAGTTTGGATCTTCAGCTTCTCTGTGGGATTATATCTTGGACGTTAATGCCCTTGAATCTCCTGAATATTGCAGGCTGGAAATAACCAGGAGTTTGGACATTTGAAAGGTATATTTGATGTGGACACCAGATAATATACCCGTGTTCTGTGTGTTGATTGAGACATGGAATAGCATCTCTTGTCAGGCCTGTTTTGAGTATTGGATTCTTTAAACCTGTTAGGCTTTCATTGCAAGAATACAAATTAGTTGGTTTCCTATGGATATTTTTTAAAAGTTGGCCTAAAGACCTTGAAAAGTTGATCCAGATGAGTGGCCTCATCACTAATTATGCAAATAAGGCAGTTAAACCTATGGTTGTAGAACATGTGGATGTATTGTAGGCTGACTTTTTTGAACAATAGATTGGAAACTTCAGTATATTTAGCTGATCATTTTCCCTTCAGCCTTTTTAGGAAGCTGCCATGCTTCTCCTGTTAATTGGACTTTTGGCCTAGAAGCCATGATCACTTTCTAGTGGAATTCCTGGTTTTCCTCCTTTTTGAGCTGGTTAGTTCAAGGGGGCTTGGTGGCGCCCAACTTCTCGTCATGAAACAAAGCCTTTTGAGCAACCCTGCTCAATCTGCCCCATTCTGAAGGTTAATTGTCATCTTTTCTGTAGCCTGCCGTGAGTTTCTCTGACCATTTTTGAATTGAAGTGGTTGATTGAACCTCCCCTCCTCCTTGCTGAAAAAGCATAGCGGAACAAAAGAACCAGATAATTTCCATTGTGTGACAAATGTTACTGCTGAATATCTGGTAGGTGTTAAACTATCAGGACTGACATCAATCTCTTGCCCTGAGGGGGTGGAAACTGGGTGTGAATTCTTTAGGGCACAGTACTCGCTAATGAAAAACATGTCTTAATTTGTCCTTGGATTTCAAGATACAGAAAATAACTACCATAGAAGGAACAAGATTACTGCTATTCTGTCCAGTATAAGGCTTCTTGGGTTCCCAGCCAATGGTCATCATACTCCTGACAGCCCGTGGAAGACTCAATTGGATGGCTTACCTCTAAAATTAATCAAACTTTCCCTTTAAGACATCTTTATACCACCACCATTGTTTTCATTTTGGGGTTGATCCAATGCATTGTGGAGTATTTTAAAATGCATGGTTAAAATAGGAGAAAAGGAGATCATGACCAATTTATTCTGTTTCACAGGCAAAAGCTGGCAGGCTGACGCGAACGAACAGCTTTACAGGACGGATTATCTGGTAACTGACCATTTAGCTGGTAAGAGCTGCGTGCCGTCTCCCAAGTGTAGGATCACAACTTATGTGAACACACACACACACCATTTCAAAGGACTAAGCATCAGCTGCCTATGGTTTTTCCTATTTGTTATGCTTTTCATTTGACTTGGAAAGGAGTCAAGGAGTATAAGTTCAAAAGTCTGCTTAAGCAATAAGCCTGACTTCTCCTGGTTTTTGTCAGCACAGACCCTTCCAGGTAGTTCTTTCAGGTTTATTTTTTGCCGTAATACCATGATTTCTTTGTAGAAGCAGAGTGCCCAAGAAACAAGGTTACTACAAGACGCTCCTTCCCAATTTTTTTTTTACCAGTGATGTAATTGGGTTATTAGTAATAGACTCTGTGCGGTTCTTTTCAAAGTATTTCATGTTATGCTGGCCTCTGCAGTTTGCCTTATTTAGATATTAACATACTGATGCTTTGCCTTGACTTGCCCTATGGATTATTCTTGGGGTCAATAGCATTCCAGGAGGTATGCTTTGAGGTTTTAATTGCATGAGCCATTCTTGCATGATATCAACAATGTTTGGTCAAAAGCCCTTCTTGTTGCCCCAGTTTTCTCTGGTTTAAGAGTTGACAGAAGTGTACAGTGTTCTTGGCTGGGTCTGGAAATACAGCATGTGCAGCCCCTAAGAGGAAGAGGCCCAGTTAGGGGTGAATGTTCCAGCAAGCATGTGAAATGCCCCCCGTTTTCTTTGCAGATAGGTTCTTCTCAAGCAGCTCGATTCCTTTGTCTATAACAAAGTGTTATTTACTCTTGGCTGACTCCCTTTCACCCCTTTTTGTCCCTGCCTTTCAGTTGGTGGGTCTGACCTGGCCTTTCTTAATATGAACAGGTCCTGTCATTTTTTTTTTTTCCAGTCAGCGGTAGTAGAGGGGGACATTGACCCTGAGGGTTTTACCCAGAGACAGTCATTGCTGACTGACAAATTCAGGATTGTCTGCAGGCTCTTCATCTTGGGAACAGGCTGCATCGCATGTTCCCTACATAGCAGATCTGAGTGTTTTTAATTTCTCTGAACGTTCCCTGCAAGTGTCAGCCTGAACGCAGTAATTTGATACGTCATGGAATTTAACTTGATGAGCATTGTGATAGAATTGTATTTCAGGGGTATATGTTTTTGTTGAACATGTGGTGTTTCTTGGATGTTACAGGTTTAACTGTACTATCTTCTAGTAATGCTTTGCGGTTTAACTTTCACTTTTTGGCTGCCGACCTGCCAGCATGATGGAAGGTGTTGTGAAAACATTAATAGGTTTGTTCCTTCAGCTGGGGGTTAGGCTGATGGGGAACATCAATAGATATGCTTGTTTTCCAACTGTCACTTTTGTTTGGAAACAATCAGTTTACATTTGAGGGTGGGTGCTTACCTGTAATTGAGCATTTGCATGGAATGAACATTAATCTTTTCACTGGTTTAAGGTGTGAATAATGTTCTTTGCTTAGTGCCTTAAATTTAACTTTACTTGTCTTCAAATTAATACCACCCAATACTATCTTAAATCCCTTTTATGCATCATTTCATGGTATCTTAGTACCACACTGGACCTTAATTAAAAGTAGTAGTTCTGGGTACTGAAATGAATCAAAGAGCTAATCCTAATCTGCCCATTTTAAGTAGTCTTTGCTCCTCTGATTCCTGTACTATCCTTGAAGGGGAGTGAGGAAACAACCTTTATTTTCCTTCCAGAATTCCAATTAACTGGACACTGTTCCCAAGTTAAGCTGAATCGCATTGAATTTTTCAGAACGGTTTGCATTTGATTGGAAGAATGTTTTGGTTCTTTTCTGGAAGAACTGCACACTTGCTTTTCTCCAGATGAGTGCCAGGGGTTCAACTCTGTAGAATGGTCAAAGTACCTGGACTATTTTGAGAATGCGAGTTACGGCCTGCTGGAGAGAGCACGGGTTTCACCCAGCTGTGTTTGAGCTCCGTGGCCCAGACAGTCCCCCACGGGTGACCAGGCCCTTTTGGTTATTTCTCAAGTGGCGAAAGCACTTAATGCAATTTTCTTTAGTCTTGTTCATAAACCCAGACGGATTTGACCCGGATTTGTTCCATTTCCAGTGGCACACTCGGACTCCGTGTAAAAGTGGGATTTCGACCATGAGCTCTGTTGCCGTACTTACGCAAGAAAGCTTCAATGAACACCGCAGCGGCCTCCTGCAAGAGCAGGTTTGTGGTGAGTATTGCCTCTGCTGGCAAGTGTTTTTTGGATTTTCAGGACGTAATGCATTCAGGGTTAAAAGCGGGTCGTCTTGATTGGGTTTTATTTCTCAGTGTGCCTCTCTATGAATATGCCCGTTTCTCAGCCTTTGCTGTGTCCTGTTCCCTCTAGCCTCCCAGGGAGGGCCTGGCAGCTCGGACGATGAGGGATCCTTGCCTACCTACAAGGAGGCCTTCCCCCCTCTTCCCGAGAAGGCAGCTTCACCTGAAGGGGCACTGGAGCCTGCCAACGCCTGGACAAAGATCAAACCCATCCGGTCCTCCATCATCACCCAGGTAGGTTAGACAGGGGGAAGGGGGTACTTGTTTGCCACCTGGTATCCTTGCTTAGTCTAGGTTAAACTACAAAAGACCATGGGTTTTAAGTCCTTTTATTTGTCCTTAAACACTGCATTGTCTTAAGAGTTGGAAATAATTCCTCAGCTCTCCTCCATAACGCGCATGAAGCGTTATTGATTCTGGGTTTTGGAACACCTACTCACAATGTTCTGAGTTGGATGGGAGATTTATACAGATGCCTTCATTCCAAGAGTTTGGGAATTTTATTCCACATCTTATAGGAGAGAATCTTTGCAAAGGATTTCAAAACTTGACCCATCAAAACTTTTTTTTTTCCCCCATGTCTAGGTTTTCCACGTACCCCTGGAAGAGCGCAAGTATAAGGACATAAACCAGTTTGGGGAGGGGGATGATCAGGCCAAGATCTGTGTGGACATCATGCAGAAAACTGGAGCCCACCTGGAGCTCTCCATGGCCAAGGATCAGGGCCTTTCCATCATGGTGTCTGGGAAACTTGATGCCGTCATGAAGGCCCGTAAGGAAATAGTCTCCAGACTGCAGACTCAGGTCAGCCCCTTATTTTGAGCTTGCTTAGTTTCTTCTAAGTAAGAAGTTGTTGACTTTTGTACATTTCACTGGATAACTTGGATATCTGCTAGTTGAATGAGGTTTTTCTCAATTGGAAAATATTTTGAGCTTATTCTTTGATGCAAGTGAAGAGTACATCTGCAAGAAGGGCCTTTGGTATTGGTTTTCCCTCTGGTATTTTATGGAGTCAGTTTTCTGTGACTGAAATAATCACCTGTGATGCTAAGTGTTCTCTATTGCCTCCCCCCTCCCAGGCCTCTGCTACTGTGGCCATCCCGAAGGAGCATCACCGTTTTGTCATTGGCAAGAATGGGGAGAAGCTGCAGGAGCTTGAGCTAAAGACTGCCACCAAGATTCAGATCCCACGGCCTGATGACCCCAGTAATCACATCAAAATCTCCGGCACCAAGGAAGGCTTGGAGAAGGCCAAGCACGAGATCCTTCTCATCTCAGCTGAGCAGGTAAACCAGCTCTGTTTATTCTAGTACTTGGTCAATTTGCAGAGTATTGTCATTTCCATGGGAGGCTTAAATCACTTGCTCTGTTCATGTACATTTTAGGACTTGATGTTTTTAAATTGGCTTGTTCAACTTAAGTAGACTTCCGTTTAGGTACTGTACCATCCAGTCTGTTCTATAAGCCTTTCTGCAATGCTCCAGTGAGACACTGTTTTCTTTGTTCTCGCAGGACAAGCGTGCTGTGGAGCGGCTGAATGTGGAGAAGGTGTATCATCCCTTCATCACTGGTGCCCACAACAAGGTGGTGAGCGAGATGATGCAGGAAACGGGTGCTCGGATCAATGTCCCTCCGCCCAGTGTCAACAAGACTGAGATTGTCATCACTGGGGAGAAGGAACAGGTGGCTCAGGCTGTGGTTTTGATCAAGAAGGTTTATGAAGAAAAGGTGAGCCTGTCGCTACCTGCCCAGTGCTCTTTGTATTTGTTAAAGCTGTTAAATGCAATGTTTAATAAATCTGGTTCTTTTAAATCTTTAACCTCTCGCCATCTAATGTTCCTGATTAGGTATTCTAAGGATGTACTTTGTCAAACTGACCCAGTTTTCCTCTGTCCCCTCCCCTTGTCAACCATGCAGAAGAAGAATGCCACCACTATTGCGGTGGAAGTGAAGAAGTCTCAACACAAGTATGTGATCGGCCCCAAGGGCAACACCTTGCAGGAGATTCTGGATAAGACGGGCGTCTCGGTCGAGATCCCACCCACTGACAGCAGCTCTGAAACAGTTATCCTCCGTGGAGAGCCAGACCGGCTGGGCCAGGCTCTTACGGAGGTCTATGCCAAGGTACAGGGATGGGTTGCAGCAGCCTCTGGTGCCGTTTAGTTACTAATACCTCTTCTTGTTGTCCATATTAGGAGTGGAAGCTCAGGTTATGTCACAATATGCGCCCTTGTGGTCTCATGCCTGTCATATGCATGTTCCCCCTTAGAGCTGCAAGGGTTTGGGTGGGCCATTTCTAATTCTCACAAGGTTGCTCAGGGGTACCCCCAATGCACCCTTTGTGTCCTTCTCTGAAGTCCACAAAGTCCCAAATTCTTTCCAGAATGGTGAAGTTTAGTTTTCTAAAATGTAGAGAAGTTGACAGAACATGTGCCACCCTCAATAATTGAGCTTTTTTGTAGTTTTAAAACTTCTACTTTTATCAAGAAACAATTAGGCTAGTTGTACAAAGCTTTGAATAAGCAGCAGTATTGACAGGTTTTCTTTGCCTGTTTTGAGTCAAGCTTGGTCAACGTGAGTGAACATCTGTTCCTGCATAAAAGTAGTGCCGTACAAGATTAGTTTCTATTTCATCAAACTGCACGGAGAATGAAAAATCTTTTAGAAACAAACTCTGCAGGTGTGTACTTAGCTACTAGAAAGGGAAGCGTTTTGAGCTGTGTAACCAGCAAGTGATGTCATGCAAAGGTTTTTTTTTATAAGGGTGCGCCCTCGCATGTCTGTGCACTTTTAAGTCCACACTTGTGCTACGTCACAGAAGTGCAGACTTGGAGGAAGGGCCTAGGGCTTAGTGCAGCATTTGGGACATGGCCTCAGTGAAATAAGTACAAATGGCCAGGCCTTATTTGTCAAAGACTAGAAGGATATGTTTTAGACTGTTCTGCAAGTCTTAACCTTAATACTTCAGTGTTATTTTTAAGAAATGGTTTTGGGGCAAGGAAATGTAGTGTAGATCCTGCGTCACTTGGTGATGAACTAAGTTTTTTAAATGTTTGCAGGCCAACAGCTACACTGTAGCCTCTGTCTCGGCACCTTCCTGGCTTCATCGCTTCATTATTGGCAAGAAGGGGCAGAACTTGGCCAAAATCACCCAGCAGATGCCCAAGGTGGGTGGTCTTTCACATTGCTGCATGGTACAACTTTAGGTTTTAAGCTAAAAAGCTGACCAGTTTGCTTAAGGATGAGTGGGGATTAATTAAGGTACAAAAGTATTAGGATAAGTGTATTGCCGAGCCCTGAAGGTCAGTTGGGGTTTTGCATAAGGCAAGCTAGTTGGTGTGGACATGGGACATTCTCTCCCTGGCTGGTTAGGGTTGGGATGAAATTTGCTCAGCTGCAGGTGGTAAATATAGGGAAGTTCAGGGTATGGAATTTCTTTCATATTGGAATTATTAACTCTCAATTTGAAAAGGATGTGCTATAGCAGGAAGCTGTCAATCAAGCAAGATTGTGCAACTCAAACTGCTTTGATATAACATGGCTTGTAGTGTTTCTTATTCATGGTAAAGACTAACTTTATTTTTGAGTTGACAGGCTTTTACCCTTTTCCCCCAAGGAGGCCTTTTTTAAGATGTAATTTTGCATTAGCTTATGAAAAGTTAACTTTGCCTAGTGTTTGCTTTTTGGCTAATGAAATAGCGTGAAATACTGAAATAGTAAAAACAGTTCTTGTATTATAAACTGAGTTGGGGTTGTATTGTGGGTGGGCGTACTCATGATGTCTTGTGGGAGTGGGCAGGCATGGTCAGATTAGCAGGAGTGGGTGATGTTCTGTGTAATGCATAGGAGGTTCTTCTGATTATAGGCTATTATTTTGGCATATTACTGCTTACAGTTTAGATGTATTTTACTTTTTATATGCTGGTGTATGTTTTGTAGGTGCACATAGAGTTCACAGAAGGGGAGGATAAAATCATCCTGGAGGGCCCCACTAAGGATATGCAGCAGGTCCAGAGCCAGATCGAAGCCATTGTTTTGGACCTGGTAAGTTTCTGCTCAGAAGTGCTGGAAGTACACAGGAGATGGTTAATGTTGCAGGTCCATTGTAAAAGCTCAATGGTACACATTCTCCAATTTTCAGATTCTAAATTTAAGGTCAACTCCTTGCTGCTTTACCTTAAGTTGTGGTGTATGTTTTAAATGACCAGGAATTTAATTTTAGTTTACTCTTGTTTGCTAGCTGGAGTATGATCTGAAACTTGAGCACTTGCCAACAGATTTTCATGAAAGCTCAAATGGCTTGGTATGCATGCAAACTGCTGTTGGCCTCTTTAACACAGGTGTGAAGATGGCATCATGTCAAATGATTAAAAGACCTCACAACTGTGAATGTACTCTTTCTATCATTTGACGTTAGTGAGGTTTGTTGCCTGTTTTTTTTTTGTTCCAGGTAAGACGCATGGATTACACCGAGATCTCTGTTGATCCTAAATTTCATCGACACTTGATTGGGAAAGGTGGTGCCAACAGTAAGTGGCTGATTCATGTGCATGCTGACAAGGTCAAAGGGAAATGTTACTCTAATGCCTTTGTTGCCATTCAAATCCAAGAAAGCCGTTTAAAGTGCCTATTATGAAGTGGCCAGGTGGCTAATGGCTGCACTTAATGTGAAACATGGGCACATCAGACTCTGTCCTCTTGTGCTGTCTAGTTAACCGTATCAAGGACCAGTACAAGGTGTCGGTGCGGATCCCCCCTGATAATGAGAAGAGCAACCTGATCCGCATTGAAGGGGACCCCCAGGGTGTACAGGAGGCTAAGAAGGAGCTGTTGGAGCTAGCGTCACGCATGGTGAGACTTTATGGTTGGGGCCAACACCCCATGGTGTCCTGGGCTTGGTTGCCTAAGTGGATTTACTTCTGCAGGATGCTCTTTTAACAAGTGTAAAGGAGGCTTCTTTCACACGTGTTGTGAACTCTTGAATGGACTGACAAGCCGTCTCCTTCACTGTTGTAGGAGAACGAGCGTACAAAGGACCTGATTATTGAACAGCGCTTTCATCGAACTATCATTGGGCAGAAAGGGGAGAAGATAAAAGAAGTCCGGGATAAGTTCCCTGAGGTGAGAAGTTGGTGCATTTGATATGCAAATGTCCCTCTTTAAGGGGAATAGTGTCCTTTGGGAGTATGTCTCAAGCTATAGAGCCACCAAGAGCCTACATTGTTTTTATAAGTTAACTGGGTTGAACATTTTAATTAGACTTAACTTGAGCTGTAAAGACTTACTAGAATAAACTTGGGGCCAGAGTAGTGAGTGCTTCAGGCAGGGTGACCTTTAGTGAATATGTATAAGGAAATGTAAGCTTGGTTCATCACAATCCAGGCTTTTGTTATGTCATCTAAAGCAATCCAAAATGGACTAGTGTGTTGTATGTCCCATGGGTACAAAGGAAAGAGTAAAGGTTTATTCCATGCTGAAAGAGAAGAAAGGAAATGCGGAGATTTGGGTGTCTGCGTTTCCTTTTTCTTTCAGCATGGAGTAAACCTTTACATGTTCCTTTACAGCTGACGCAGCTACGTACTTGAACTACTTGTCCCCTTGGTAGCTGAATGCTCCATGTAACTAAAATGTGATTCTTTACTGTTTTGAAGGTTATCATTAACTTTCCTGACCCGACGCAGAAGAGTGACATTGTGCAGCTGCGTGGCCCCCGGACTGAGGTGGAGAAGTGTACCAAATTCATGCAGAAAATGGTGGCTGAAATGGTAAGGCATCCTGTTGCCTTTCCCCCTTAAATGGGGAATTAGAAAATGTCAAACCTGCTGTGGCCACTATTTGCAAGTCCTGCTCCATGATATTCTAAACTAGTAGCAGTTAACAGATCAAGATGTACTCAGTCTGGCCTTGCATGTTGGAGGAAGATCAGGAGCTGAATCACTGGATCTTGTGTAATCGAGATCTGCAATCAATCCACAGACCTGGGAGATCCTATGCCATTGTGAGGTGGATTAAAATTTCTCTCCTCTTTCAGGTGGAGAACAGTTATTCTGTTTCAGTTCCCATCTTCAAACAATTCCACAAGAACATCATTGGAAAAGGAGGAGCAAACATCAAGAAGGTAGGTCGTTATCTCCTTGTGGATATCTTAACCATGTTGTAAAATCCTAGTTTGATTTGCCATTGGGATAGTGGAATAAATCATGATGGAAGTGCGATGAAGTAACTTGGTGTACGGTGATTAGGCTTCCTAACATCTCTGTATGCCATTCTTCTTTAGATACGTGAAGAAACGAACACTAAGATTGACCTGCCAGCAGAAAACAGCAACTCTGAGGTCATAGTCATTACTGGGAAGAAAGCAAACTGCGAAGCTGCCAGGAGCCGTATTCTAGCCATCCAGAAAGAACTGGTAAGTTACGATCACAGACATGTGTGCAAGATCTGTTATACTAGCCATGTTTTGTAGGGTTAACATAAAGATCTGCAGACTTCACTTGACTCTCCAGAAATGGCCCATTTAAACTACCCTGCTAGTTTTCCTATCTAAGCTCATGCATGTAAATGTCATTAAGATGTGACTTGATATGTTCCATGGTACAGTAGTCCTAGACCTTTTGTGCAATAGAACCGTTTTGCAGACTGATAAATGGATTGGCTTCTCACCTGGAATGCTTAAACTGTCTGCGCTTACCGTAGTAAAATCCTACAGAGTAATCAGTCCTTTAACAGTTCTGTTTGTCACTTGATTTTTCTTCTGGGATCTTTCACCTGTTTATCAGGCCTTCAGTTAATGCAACAATAACGGCAATAGTTTTTTCCATGTTGGCCAATATTTTTGCATGAGGAAGTTATTGCTCACGTTTTCCTTGCGGGGCTGCCCTAGCTGTAATGGTACAATGGTTTTATGAAATTCTTGACTCTCTGTAGGCGAACATCACCGAGGTAGAGGTTTCCATTCCCTCCAAGCTGCACAATTCCCTGATTGGTTCCAAGGGCCGCTTTGTGCGCTCCATCATGGAGGAGTGCGGTGGAGTGCACATCCATTTTCCCACTGAGGGCTCCGGCATTGATACGGTAACCATCCGTGGCCCGGCTGAGGATGTGGAGAAGGCACGCCGCCAGCTCCTCTCGCTGGCCGAGGAGAAAGTGAGTAGGCTTCCTCTGCTGTGTGCAGGTCCAGCTTAGGGCAGCCCTCTCCTAAAGAGGACTGAGTTTATTCCAAACCCATTCATTTTTACATCACTGGTCTCCTCTTTGCACAATATTTCTGAAGAACGGGCTTATAACTTCCGTGACCTTTCACTGTCCACAAACTGATTTTGCTCAATGATTACTTTTTTTTAAGTAGGTTAACATTTTAGTGTTTGCCTTCCTTCCACCTTCCCCCCCCCTTTTGGCAACCTTACAGTTTGTTTTTCTGAGCTTAATCATGTGTCTAGATGATGGGCCGAAAGGTCTCATTTGAGTCTTCTGCTTGCCACACCTTTTAACTTCAGGCCTGCTTTAACAGTGCGCATAGTTCAGTTGCTTGGGACAAAGAGGTTAATGTCTTTCCTGCACTTTCAGCAAACTAAAAGTCACACGGTGGAGTTGCGTGCCAAGCCAGAATACCACAAGTTCCTGATCGGCAAGGGTGGTGGGAATATCCGGAAGGTGCGTGATAGCACAGGAGCTCGCATCATCTTCCCCACACCGGAGGACAAGGACCAGGAGCTCATCACGGTGGTGGGCACCGAGGAGGCAGTGCGTGAAGCCCAGAAGGAGCTGGAGGCCCTTATCAAAAACCTGGTAGGCACCCTCCCCCCCCCAGCTTCTGTTAAACATTCCTGCTTATTATGGGTTTGCAGTTGTTGCATTCTTTTCTAATCGGTCTTCTCCTTTTCCATACGAGTTAGCAAACCTGTTTTGAAAATTTTTGTAACTAGCTCTGAGTCAGGTGGATGGTGAAATCTTAATTCCAGGATGAGCTTCTGTTGTGGACCATGGTGAGTAAATGCCTTAAGTGAACAGATTGACTCTTTGCAAACGTTTTATTTTGCTAGTCCTCCCCCCGATCTACTTCTACACCATTTCATGATGTACCCTTCTTGTTCGCACCAAGTTGGTCCCCAGCACACTTCTAAATGGACAAAAGTGTTGGGTGGACACGTGTCATTTTCCTGCAATGTCTGTTTTCCAGGACAATGTGGTTGAAGACTTCATGACTGTGGACCCCAAGCACCACCGCTACTTTGTTATCCGGCGTGGCCAGGTTCTGAGGGACATTGCCGATGAGTATGGGGGCGTCATGGTCAGCTTCCCTCGCACGGGGTCCCAGAGTGACAGGGTCACACTGAAGGGAGCCAAAGACTGTGTCGAGGCTGCCAAGAAGCGCATGCAGGAGATCATCGAGGACCTGGTGAGTGGATTGTGGGATCAAATGGGCGAAGCTAGCTTCAAATCTGGTCCTCAAGGCTGGTCGTGAACTTATTCCTCTGACTTGTAGACAGTTGTTTTTAGGCCAGGCTAGTTGAAACTTCAAGTTTTGAACCTCGCCCAATTTTACTTCCGAAGGTTTACTTCTGAAAGTCTAAAACCCCATATCTCAGCTGCTTTTTTTTCCCCAACTTGGTAGTGGCACGAATAGTGGTGCAATCATGGTTTTGATGGACCCTGCTGCAGATGTTAAAATCGACTGAGTAGCCATTATGTGTTTTTTTGTTTTATTCCAGGATGCACAGGTGGTCATGGAGTGTGTGATTCCCCAGAAGTTCCATCGCTCCATCATGGGTCCTAAGGGCTCACGGATCCAGCAGATCACCCGTGATCACAATGTACAGATCAAGTTTCCAGAGCGAGAGGATACTCAAGGTAAGTCTTCCTGATGTGGCAATGCAGTGGAGGGACTGCCGTTCAGTGACTTCTCTTACAGGGACGCATTTGTTTTGGGGGGTGGGGGAGTGGAATTGCTGATCCTTAAGTTTAATATATGGGCAACCATCACAAGGAGCAAAAATCTAATATTAGCCATATGAGAAGCTGTACAATTTTATAAAATTCTGAAGCAGTGCTTTGCAGAGGCAAACTGATTAGCAGTCCATTACCTAAGAAGGGTCTGCAGTTTTAACAAACTATACCTTTGTGTGCTACAGCTGCCACAGCTGAGCAGCCCGTCCAGGAAAACGGTGTGGCTAATGGGGAAGTAAAAGAAGCAGCTGACCCTGCCACTCCCAATAAGCGTGATGTCATTGTCCTGTCTGGCCGCAAGGAGAGGTGCGAGGCGGCTGTGGAGGCTCTAAAGGTCAGTCCTGTTACAGAGAATTAAAAAGAAAATAGATCTCTACACTTAGTTTCTCTTCTGGAAGGAACTTTTTACTTTTACGAGTAGGAGTTTTAAGACTGATTTTCCATGTTGACATGCCAAAGTCCAAAACCACATTTATTCAGTTTCACTTCTTCAGTTTTGCCTTGAAGCCCCTCTTGGCCAGTTAGGTGAACCGTACCTTCATTTCAACCTTCGCAGGCTTTGGTGCCTGTCACTGTGGAAGTGGACGTCCCCTTTGATCTTCACCGTTACATCATTGGCCAGAAGGGAAGCGGGATCCGCAAGATGATGGATGATTACGAGGTGGGCCTTCATCTGTGATGTGGCTAACCTGAATCTATGGTTTGGCCTCTTTACCAAAAGCCGTTGGGTAAAACAAATCCAGCTCATTTTTTTTAATTTTAGGTCCAGTTACTTGTACGTTTCTAATGTCTTCAAATTCTATTGTAATGCACATGGACAGCTGCCAACACCTTTGCCTAAAATCTTACTTTTTATTAATCTTGCATTCTATCCCTCATTGTTTACTTGGACTGTTTATCTAGTGACTATATTCTTCAGTTTTAGCCCTGTATATCTACCTGGCTTATTTTGTTCCTCAGGTTAATATCCAAGTGCCTGCTCCTGAGCTACATTCTAATATAATAACTGTTACTGGCCTGGCCTCCCTCTTGGACCGGGCTAAGGAGGGCCTCCTGGAGCGCGTGAAAGAGCTCCAGGCTGAGCAGGAAGAGAGGGTGAGTGAGGCGTGACCTGTGCCATGCTGATGTACGTTGACTTCTCGATGAGCTGAAATATTCTATATTAATAAAAAAAAAAGTGGAGCTCTTCTGAAGCCCCTCCTGAATTTCTGTACCAGTTTCAAACATTAAGCATCCCAGCTACAAATCTAGTTTGGTTGAGACTTTTTTTTTTTGCTGTGGCTTGTAACAAATGACCTATCACAGTGCTGAATCCCAACTACAGTGTTAAATGGATTTAATATGCAAACTGATAAATACAAGCTACTTGTAGACCAGACATTGTGCCAACATTTGCCATAGCATTATTTTTTAGTGAAATGCTGCGTTCCTTAAGCCGTTGGCTTCTCATGCCACACAAGTACCAATTTGTAGCAATGGACTAACTTTTTGTAATGCGATCACCTTCTTTGCAGCCTTTAAAATGAGCTGTGCAGTGCTCCATTGGGATTTTGAGGAGCCAATGTTCCATGGGTAATCCTGAAGCAAGGGGAGTTTTCTTTCACAAGGGTTATGTGGTACGCAGGCAATTCACAGATACCCCCTTGTCTTTAAAAATGTAATGCGTTTGTATTGAAAGCAGGAGTGAAATACAAATATTTGTGACATGGCAAATGATCGCAAATACAAGCAGTTTAGGTTGCAAACTGGCTTTGGGGACATGGGTGTATTTTGACGTTGGTTCTCGTTGGACTCCTTTTGTCTTTAGGCCCTCAGAAGTTTCAGGCTGACCATCACTGTGGACCCCAAGTATCACCCAAAGATCATTGGGCGCAAGGGTGCCATCATCACTCAGATCCGCAATGAGCATGACGTTAACATTCAGTTCCCAGAAAAGAATGATGAGAACCAGGTACAAAACATGGGTTCTGGGCTGTGGAGTCGTCACCAGTTTTTCCTACTCGATCTATGTAGTATGACTTGAGTGTGGGGGGGAATGCATTATCAGCTTGAACATGTGGATAAATCTTGAGGGTTGTTTAGATGGATCAAAGCGTTATAAACTGTCTATTTAAGTTAAGCCATTGGTGCCCAATTTTGTGAGCTTTATTTTTTGTCTTCCTGCCTTCAGAAATGTCAGTGTTTTGATTGTGTCTTGCAGGATCAGATTACCATCACTGGCTACGAGCGCAACGCTGAAGCAGCGCGTGCCGCGATCCAGCGCATTGTGGACGAGCTGGAGGAGATGATCTCGGAGGATGTCACCCTGGACCACCGTGTCCACGCCCGGATCATCGGGGCCCGTGGCAAGGGCATCCGCAAGATCATGGACGAGTTCAAGGTCAGGAGTGCACGATTTGATCTCGCAAGATTGCGAAAGCTGCTCTGATTTCTAGAGTCTTGTTCAGGGAGTTATTCTGCAACTACAGGCACGGAACTAAATATCTGGGCTTGCCTTGTACTTCTAGTTCATTTGACTTGCAAACGTGCATTGTAAATACATTTGTGAGGACACCCCTCTTCAGAGCAGTATTCAAAACTTTTCTGCTAAATCTCCAGGTGGACCTGAAGTTCCCCCAGACTGGAGCCGCTGACCCCGATGTTGTGACCGTCACTGGGCTTCCTGAGAACGTGGATGAAGCCATTGACCACTTGCTTAACCTAGAAGAGGAATATGTGAGTTTTCTGAAAACACCTTAACCTATTTTTGTTGTAAAATGCTGTTAGATTTGTTCTGTTTTTTATCCTTCCCCGAATTCATTGTATTTAAATCATTTATGATGTGGTATCCTGGAGATTGAGACTGTTTGAAATAAACTACACCTGTATAGGCAAATGGTCTTAAAAGGGCAGTGCTATTATTTTACCTACAGTCTAAAGTCACTGCAGTATATGCTTTATTGAAAGTTTTTTTTATAAGTATATTCATACTTTCGTATGTTCTCCTCAGATGGCAGATGTTGTGGAGAATGAAGCCAAGCAGGCCTATATGAAGCCTCGGGGGGCTTCAGCTGTGGAAGAACCACGTGGACCATCCAAGGGCTTTGTGGTGAGAGAGGCACCCTGGGCTTCTGCAAGCAGTGAGAAGGTGAGGGACCTCATGACTGAGCCACAGCACAACACCATTGCTCCAATGGGTGTCTTAACTATCTAGCTCAAGGACAGTTTATTGGGATGTGCTGCCCAATAGGGTGTTTGCAGAAAGAAAGTGGTAAGGGGACAGCACCTTAGTGCTGTAGTTGATTTCAGCTGTAAGTTGATGTAGGCTAGATGCTGGTGTGCCTACGCACAGGGAGGGCGATGATGTCGCCGTATCTGAACTAGCTCCGCTACACTGGGAGCTCCCTTAACCTCGAGGTTAAAGCTTGTTGTTCTTGGTCTAAGACGTGGTCCTTTTCTACTGCGTCAGTGCATTGGTCAATCAAGCTGAGCCATCAGCTCCTTGCCACTTCCCATGCATCATGAAATCTGAGGCTGGTGGATGCCTGTAGAGAGCCTCCTTCTATATGAGTAAACTGGGGTGCTAAGGACTCTGATCAGAATGTTACATAATGCACATCTTTCTTATTTCTGCCTAGGCACCTGACATGAGCAGTTCTGAAGACTTCCCCAGCTTTGGGGCACCTATGGCTCCCAAATCCTCTCCATGGGGTCCCAAGCGTTTCTAACCTGGAAGTTTAAGATGGATACAGGACATCCACCCCCACCCCATCTCCCCCCCACAGCCCTCCCTCTCTCTCTATTTTTCTCTCTCTCTCTCTCTCTTACCTCTGACGCTGACCTCGACCCTTAACTCATTCCTGCAGCAGCCCATGAAATGTGGACCTCCCTCCACAACTTGATACTTGTTCTTCAGGAAGCCATGTTCTTTCCAAGTATAAAATATTGTGCTGTCTAATGGTGAAACTGCTCTTTAATTCTAAGCTGTTGCTAAGGTGATGGAACACACTTGCTAAGGTTCAGTGAACTGCCTGAGTTGCCTTGGAAACAGATGTTGGGGTTTTTTTTTTTACTTTGATCTAGCAAGTGAGCTCTTGATTTTGCACTTTCTCAATGAAGCAAAGTTTACCACCACTTTCATAAGTAATGGGCTGGTTGTTACAACCACCTGTAATCATACAGACCCTCTTACTGTGTTGTCTGTGTACCCCTAGGGTGCACTGAGGAAAGGCCTGGCTTAACTGGCTAATGTTGTTAACCAGGCTTAATTTCATAAGATGCAATCTTGCTGCCAGGGTCCTAGAAAAAAACCTGTTGCTGAATTGAAGAATTTGCATTTGCTAAAGCAGCAAGGAAATTGAGCAAGTAATACACTACAGAGCCATATTTCACTTCTAAACTGCCAGGTCCTTTGTTTTATATTCGGAAGCTGCTACTTTTGTCCAGTTCCAGGGACCCAGAATTCTACAGGGTCAGTGTGCTGCCCTTATTGTGTACATTACTGCCCTCCTACAGCTCAATGTTTGTAACTTGATACTCAAGACTGGTTGTCTTCTGTTTCTGGCCTGCTCATTCTAGTCATGTGAAGCTGCAACTGTTGTGCAGCCTCTGTCCCCGCCCCTTCTGAGAGTCAGTGTCCAATCCCCTTTTTCTTGTCTTCCAGTTGCTGGGCAGATTCTTGTTTCCATGGCAACAACCCTCTTATCAGCCTTAAAAATCAAAGATGAACAATATGCAAAAATGAAGTAAAAATATACAAAGTATAAAAAATATATGGATAACACTGGAATTTTAAATGTCCAAAAAATAAAATAAAAATGGAAAAACTGCTTCTTGGCCTCTTGTTCTGGAGTGTTTTTTTTTCCCCTCATGTAGAGCTTGAATATTAAATCTTACAGCTAGCTTGTACCTTTTCATTAATGGAAAATACCATCCCATGTTATTAATGGGGGGGGGGGCTTTTCCTGAGCCAAAAACAGCCCTTGGATCCTCAAGTCAATTAAGAAATCCTGGCCTCACAACTGCATTCCATTGATGCTTCCCTAGCACCCTCACATCCTTTCTATCCCCAGCACCATTGATAACTTACCCACCTTACAGGCTGATCCCTCCACTGGTACTGTTTTTTTCCTGACTGCCCCTTCATCTCCATTCGCCGACCACCTCATCTCCGTAACCTCGTACATCGCTCCAGCAACCTTGTTTACTGCATCTCTTGCGGAAGATGCCGAGCTACCGCCATTGCTGAAATATGGGTAGTGGGAGACCGTCTCGGGGATCATGTCAGGCCTCTGAGGCTCAAAGATCTCTCCATGCCCGAAGTTTCTCATTTTGCCTCCAACGGCTGCGATCGTATTGATCTCTCCGTCTGCGTTCTCAAAGAGGGCTTTCAATTTTTTTTCTCGGTTTACCCTGGTGTCGGGTGGCGGTTGGTTTTACATTTAATGCCAGTGTTCTCCGTGCGTTTGTGTGAACAGAAAATAAAATTGTCACTTGTATCATACCTTAGAGTTGCGGGTGTAACCTTTAAAGAGCGAACATTAGCAAGTAACTGCCTGCTCTTTTTTTTAAAAAAAAAAAGGCTTTAACAAAAACGTTTTAATCCTTCCTAACTGTCCTTTTTAAAAATGTGGCGAAATGATCAGTTTCTCATTGTGTCCTTTTTAAATTAATATGCAAATCGATGGCTGTTTAAATAGTTGACCTGTCATTTGATATCCGTGTTCTAAAAGGCTCGATTACCAATTTTCTGTATTACAAGACCATTGTTTTTATGCAAATAAATGCGAGAGAGAACATGTTTTTTTTTAAAGCGGCAGTGGCACTATATACTAAATTGACCCAGGTAGTTTATAACTCAACTGTAAAACAACATTGGAAACTCACACATGCGAACCACGGAACTACTGAAAATATTTTCAGCTAAAATAACTGAACATATATCCGAGGTCTTAAAAATCAGTCATTATCCATGTCGTCGTATTTACATGGCTCTAGCGTGCAAACACAGTACGGTGCTACGTTTGTGCAGTTCAAAGTGGCTTTTGTGCTACTTTCGTTACCGAGTTATAGTGCCTTCTTTTTCGGGTAATCACGTGACTATCTACAAGGCCGTTTAAACAGGACCAACACACTCGGTTCTTTCGTTGTGATGGAAACCACGGGTGCACTTTCTGTGGTGCAATCTTATTGCGAATCGTAATTTAATTTATGTTCAGAACTGTAACAGTTTTCACGTTTCATTCGCATGTGTATCAATCATGATAACTTTCACGACAGATGGAGCTTGCTAATTTCAAAGAGGTCTTCGCTAAACTCTAAACATTAGAGTCAACTTATCAAAGATCACAACTGAAAGATCTGGTGGTCGTGATCTTTCCGTACCTGAGTCATACTCCGAAAAGGAAGGCCCTATATTGAAATGTAAAACATCCACCCCACCGGACTCAAATTGCACAAAAGGCAAACCCGTTGTTTTCATCACATCCACTAATTAAAATGACCAAGTATGTTGGTACCTTTAAACTTTCTTGTCGACAGTCACGTGATTATCCAAAAAAACAAGGCGCTATCTCGGGAACAAAAGCAGCTGGGAAGCTACTTTCAACGGCACAAACACAACATTAACGACATAAGCATTAATGAGCTGGGTTTCCTCATTTGTGTTGTTTGTAGGGGGGGACTTCAATAAAAACTCTTTTCCTCTCTCACACCGGACGAAAGCTCCACAGCCGAAATGTGATTTTCTTCTATTTTTCAGCATGGAATAAACCTTAATTTGTCCCTTTGCAGCTTGTACTTAGATGCGTGTTTTTCAGTAATTGGAATGTTAAAATTGCAACCGTGATGATAGATTTGCTAAGCAAATAACCATTGCATGTGTAAGCTGTGTTGTGTTCTTGTGAGTAAGGGGATACAATAGGATAGATAGTCCTCCACAGTTTGTCTTTTTTTTACTATCCTGCCCCTGTTCTTTCCTTCGTCCCACCACATACGTAAAGATGGCTTTTCAACGATCGCTTTTACTTTTTAAACATCTAGTTTCTTCTTGTCCCATTGTCTACACATTTCCTATAATCCGCGACCGGTTGGTTATCTGAACTCCACATCCTAAATCAAATTCAGAGGCAGATTAAGGAAACATCTTCGTTGCGTTAATTCCATTGAAGAAAAAGTGTTTCTCCCCGTCGGGGAATCGAACCCCGGTCTCCCGCGTGACAGGCGGGGATACTTACCACTATACTAACGAGGAGTTGTTGGCTTGCTTCCCGCACAAGCTGCTGTGTCCCTAAACCCAATGAACAACGCCACTACTCCCTCTTGTGGTTTACAATAGCGCAACTACTAATGTGATTTGTTTCAAAGCAGCAGACCATGTTCAGTTGGCTCGTTGGTCTAGGGGTATGATTCTCGCTTTGGGTGCGAGAGGTCCCGGGTTCAAATCCCGGACGAGCCCTGCTTTTTTTCTTACGTCGTTTCACATTTTTTTCTGTGCATTAAAACCCATGTTTGCTTTCGGCTTTTCACATTAAAGTCAAATTACTATAGTTCAAATCTCAAATCTCTTCAAACAATACAGGGTAAAGATGTAAAATGTGTATATGCACCAAAAGCAAACCCGATTGACGAAGTTACACTAAAGACCTAACTAATTAACATGCTTGATAGTAGACAGATTTAAAAGAACTGGCCCGTACGGGGATCGAACCCGCGACCTTGGCGTTATTAGCACCACGCTCTAACCAACTGAGCTAACCGGCCGGTGCGCACGTTTTCTTTTCCTCGATAAGCAGTAGTAAACGATTATATGGTATTACTGGGTAAAGACAATTTATAGCACTGTTTTGCATTTAGCTTGCCGATAACCAGCATGGTATCACTGTACACTGAAATACCAAAATCAATTTACATATATATTACACAAATATTTTATTCAGGTTAACTTAACCAACATCTTAAATAAACATTTTAACGCAGTCGAGATGACCCGTCCGGGCTGTCCTGATCAAACAGCGTTTCTTTCTTGGGTCTAGTCCTGCCGGGACAGCCTGCCTCGTGCAAACTATAAAAAACAAATAACAAAAAGTGAAATTAAAGCAATAAAAACCTCCGAGCTCATTTTAACTTTTATTTGTGAAATCAGGTATCTATATTTTCTTTCAGTGAGCACTGAGACAAGGATTCCTATAATAAGCCTGAATGCATATTGAAGCTTGCAAATCTATCACCGAGTGGACAGTTTAAAATTAAGCGAACACCTTTCTTGTTCGCCATTAAATACAGAGGACGAGTACTAATGTAGAAAACGCCGAACCGCTTTTCATACAAAGGCAGAAACCGCCACCGAGCGTCTCCTCCGCGGTGTCCGGGGCGCCACGCCGTACAGTGCGAGAACAGCCCAGAGCTCAGGCCGGCAGAGGCGGAGCTGGAGGCGCAGCAGTCTGGGCATCAGGAGTGTCCTGATGCGCGTCATACCTGACGCAATATGAAGAGGTTGTTCAAAATCTAGGACTAGTGCAGCGTAAAAAAAAAAAAAAGGACTAGTGCAGCGTAAATTGAATGAGGTGATGTGAATAACTGAAGTGAAAACACACCAGGTGTTGCTTTTTTAACTCTCAAAACGAGTGTCTAGCATTGTTTTATACACGTTTTCGTTTACCGTTCTTCAAACCTTAGAGTTACATGAGGCTATCTTAGATAAGTAGCTATTAAAGGGCTATTAAAAAGGTGGATAGTAACAGGACATAGTAAAAGATCAATGAACAAAAAGTCATAAATTTTGAGATTTTATATTGTATAATATATATATATATTAATCATTTTAAATCGGGAGAAATAAATAAGATGAAGGGGTCGCTAGGTTTCTTGGAATAGCAGGATAATGTAGGCAGATGATGTTTCATCTTTGATACCTTCATCTTCTGGAAACTGTTCAATTGAAGAATTAAACAGTTTAGGGGTTCTGTTGATCTTGTATGTTGGGGTGTATTTATACTTATTTAGCAAATGCAACGTCCCTGAACTAAGCGATAGCAACAGCTGAGTTTTACTCGCACATCATACTATGACGGCCGCTAGATGGCAGTCAAAACAGATTGCTGAGAAACTCCAGAAGCTGTACATCCACTGTACAACTCCAAGCACATCCTACATGCAACGTGGCAAAGACATTTCAGTACTTCTCCAAAAAACTAAACGGTGTGGCTCGTTGGTCTAGGGGTATGATTCTCGCTTAGGGTGCGAGAGGTCCCGGGTTCAAATCCCGGACGAGCCCATTTCTTTTCCTCCACACCTATTTTGTGAATGTAAGGCAGGCAGTTTCTAATAACTTTATTCCATGCTGAAAAGAGAAGAAAAACACAATGAAAATGGCTCCACAGTTGAAACGTTGTGTTTTCTCTCTTCTCTTTTCAGCATGGAATAAACCTCGACTTGTTTTTTTGCAGCCTGCGCATGCTGACGCAGATACCCACCTGCACAGTTTCCAATAACTTCCATGTAAATGCTTTCACTTCTAAAATATATGTCAAAGATTATGTCAAAGCTTTTATTTATTAAGAAAATGCAACTTCCCTGAGCCAAGCAATAGCTGTGTTGGGAGGTGTGCAGAAGGTTTAGCTTGCAAAGGCTCACCATCATTAGAGGTAAGTGTAACGGGGACCATGACCAGTCCTCACGCAGTTTAGAGTCGACCACTCTTTTCTTGGAAGGTGAAAGACAGGAGGTTGATGGGTAGAGCTTATGAT